TGTTGGGTCACTTGACTTTTGCATCTTTGTTGCGGAGGGAACTGCTGTCATGTTTCCAAGCAACATATGTTTTTGTCAAAAAGTGTTATCATGTTCATTCACGTTTGTGGCCTCAAGTTGTGCGCGAGTTGAAATGGGCATGTTCACTCTTGCCACTTGTGTCACGCAACATGGCTGCCCCATGGAGCCCGCAGGTCCTCGCCACTGATGCGTCGCACTGGGGTCGTGGGGTGGCCAAGATGACAAGCACCCAAGAGCAAGTGAGAGCTCAAGCACGGATTCAAGATAGGTGGAGATTCACGAGTGACCAAGAAAGATTGCTTTTGTCGGGGCATGAGGCCGATGATGTCATGCACGCCCTCTCTGACATGGGGGAAGGCCAGTCCCAACATGACATGCTCTCTCTTCCTGTGCCTGAGTTAGATGTGGAATTTTTGAATTCTGAGTGGACGCGTGTCGAGAGCAGAGCATGGGATCGGCAAGAACACATTGTAACCTTGGAAGGTCGTGCGTTGGTTTGGGCAGTCCAGCACTTAGCTAGGAGTGTGAACAACCATGAGAAAGGACATCTCCTCTTGTCTGATTCCATGTCTTGCGTGTTGGCACTCACCAAAGGTAGAGGTGGTAGCAGTGGCATGAACAGAATCTGCCGTCAGATAGCAGCACTCTCATTGGCATGTGATTTCCAGTTGCATTATCGTTGGTGTCCGTCTGAACTCAATCCAGCTGATAAGCCTTCAAGAAATAGGATCCTCTCTAACTATAATATCTGGGATAGCATCGGGGATTTGATAAATGCTGAAGAGAGCCATCGTTCACGCCACTCATGGCGACAACAAGCGGCAGCATACTATGCCGCGTGCCGTAATGGTGGAAAGGAGTGGGAATTTTGGGCTCGCCGACGAGCCGAACTTGCTGGTTGGCACAAGTCGCAAGGCCCAGAAGCTGACCAAGTCGAATGCCAGGCTGGCTCTGCACGGAGCGCCAAAGCCTCCTCCCCCTTCAAAGATTCAGACCCGAACCTTCCTGGAAGAAAGGGCCATCACCAGCACTCGGTTGCAATCATACGAGATGGCTTGGATGAAGTTAGTAGAGTTTGCAGAGGACCAAGGCTATCCCATGACCTGCCTCAAAGAGGTGGATGCAGCAGCGGCTTGGTGGATGGACATGATGTACTTCGAGGGAGATGGTGTGTCGGGGGCAATGACTATGATGGCAGCCATCAAACACATGAGAACAGATGTGCCGAAGCTCAGCTTGCTGGTGAGGTGCTCAAGATCTCTTCGTGCCTTCAAGAAGTTGGCGCCACCCATGGCCAGAGTCCCACTTCCATTTCCCATGTTGGCACAGGTAGTCAAGCACATTGTCATCGAGCTGACAGAACCCATGGTTGGTGTCCACCTGATTCTGACATGGAGCTTGTGCTGCCGACCCGGCGAGTCTCTGAAGCTGAAGTGGCGGCAGATAGTCGCCCCCAATCAGGTCAATCGCCGTTGGTCGGTATTGCTGTCAGAAAGTTCTCCAGTGGAAGGCCAGTCACAGCCCTCGAAGACTCACGAGCTGGACGAAGCAGTGCTGATCGACCATCCTTATCTCTTGTGGTTGGGGGCAATCCTCAAGCACCTGAAGAAAGGGAAGAGAGCAAGCATGCCGGTGTTCGATTTCAAGATGGCTCATGTGAGCAGCGTGTTTGGCCAAGCCCTCGACGCATGTGGTTACCGTCCTCATGGCGTGCAAAGCGTGTACCAAATCCGCCCTGGATCAGCCTCCACCGACAGACTCACCCAACAGAGATCAATGGAAGAATTGATGAAAAGGGGTCGTTGGCGCAGTCTGAGCAGCCTCCGACGATACGAACAAGGGGGCCGCATCAGCCAAGTCTTCGGATGCCTGAGCCCAGAAGAACAGAAAGCCGCCCTCATGGCCGAAAAGCAGCTTCCAATTATTTTGGGCCGTTGCGTTGGATGCTCCAAGCTCCCAAACGCTGCATCTTCCTTGAGCTTTTCTCCGGGTCTGGCCGACTAAGTAAAGCACTTCGTCGCAGAGTGAAACACAGATTTCACGTTGTCGAAATCGACATTGCTTCGGATGCCTCACATGACTTGTCAAAAAGAGCCTTCCAAGATTTCATACTCTTGCTAATTAGCCTTGACAAAATTGCCGGCGTGTGGATGGGCACGCCATGCACTAGTTGGTCACGCGCCAGACGTAATGATGGCAAAGGGCCTTCACCCCTTCGATCCGATAGTCAACTTTGAGGTCTTGACGATCTTTCTACCAGTGACCAAGATCGTGTTAGACTAGGAAACAACTTAGCCAAGTTTTCGCTTCGTGTCTTCAAGATGTGTTGGCAGGCGCGCATTCTTGCAGCTATAGAAAATCCCAGTTCTAGCCGTTTCTGGCTGATCCCAAAGGTTGCTCATCTCCTCATACATGACCGTACCAGCATGCATGTCACCGACTACTGTCAAGATGGCACACCGTGGCGCAAACGCACCAAGGTTTTGACTTGCCATCTCGATTTTTCGTTGGTGCCTCGACTTTGCCAGGGTTGTCGAGGAATTTGCAGCCGCACTCATCGGGCGCATACGCAGTTGTGTGGTCAAGTCAATCGTCAGTTCCTGACTCTCATTGCCCAACCTTATCCTACAAAATTGTGTAATCGCATTGCTGTTGTTTTCCACAATGCTCTCATGGAAAGGTTGTCACGGCCAATGATGAAGCTCCTGGGGTTCTAAAACTTTGTAGCCATTGTCCAGTCACAGCAATGGGAACTTATGTATCGCTAACAGTGTCCATTGGTTTGGCATTCCTGGCACCCACGGGATCAGTTCTTCTTGTGTGCCGGGATGTCTTCAGAGTGCGCACATAAGACATAGAATCGTATCTGGCCATTGGAGAAAAGAGCGGTGCCATATCCCTTGCCTTGCTGAGGTTGGCTGAGATCGTCGAATATGGCCGCGGTATGGTTGTTGCTCAAGTCTTCCCCCCCAATAATGCTTCGCTTCCCCCCCTAAAATTTAAGTGGCATTCCTGGCACCCACGGGATCAGTTCTTCTTGTGTGCCGGGATGTCTTCAGAGTGCGCACATAAGACATAGAATCGTATCTGGCCATTGGAGAAAAGAGCGGTGCCATATTCATGGAAAAGGAACTTTGTTGGAAACAGAGGGTTTTTTGGGGAGCAAGTGAGTTCCCGAAAGCTCCTGCGAAGGGTTTTTCCTAAAGAACTGCTGCCAATTTCAACTTGTTACTGTACTTCGTGTAAAGGCGCCTCTGTGCAAAGACTTCTCTGTGTAAAAGCTTTTGTGTGTAAAAGTTTCTGTGTGTAAAAACCACTCTGTGTAAAGACTTCTTTGTGTAAAAGCTTCTGTGTGCGAAAGCTTCTCTGTGTGAAAGCGCGTTTGTATAAAGAGTTCACTCTGTGTAAAAGCTTCCGTGTATAAAAGCTCTCTGTGTAAAGGCTTCTCTGTGTAAAAGTTTCTGTGTGTAAACACGTCTGTGTGTTAAAGCTATTTGTGTGAAGACTTCTTTGTGTAACAGCTTCTGTGTGTAAAAGCTCCTAGACGTTTGTGTACAGTGTACAAAAGGAAATATTTTCATTTTTTTGCGATCAACCCGCCAAAAATGCTGTAATTTACAGTGTGTTCTTTTTGCTTTGCCTTCAAAAACACTGGTATTGGCAGTGTTTTGCGCATCTCTAGTCTAAAAAGTATTTGTATTTACAGCATCTTCTGCGTTTTTGCATTGTTCCCGCGAAAGACGTTAAAACCCAAACATGCTTTAATTTACAGCAATTTGTTAGTTTCGAACAGATAAATATCGTCCCAAAAATGTGTCAAAACGGCGCCTTTTCCTGATTTTAGGTACCCTCAAAACGGGGTGGGTGGGGGAATGCTCTAGGAGACGCTTATGAGCGATCCGGATTCCGTCCAAAAAGCTTTCCCCCAAGCAGAGTGAAGGATTTTTGATGTTTTTCGGGGCCCGGGGTCGGAGGGCCGGCGGCTTGGGGCGTGCCTCACCATGGAGCTCTTGTCGCTCTGGGATGCTCGTAGCGCATTTGTCAGCGCACTCGTGGGGAGCGGCGGAGCGGAATTTAAGGGCTTTCGCCCCGAACCCGGCAGAAGCGCGAGGAGTTGTCACGACTGGATAGGGATGACTGGTCTCTTGCAAAGGGAGCAGGGCTTTGAACAGGGGCCATATTATGTATAGATATAGTCTCCTGAACAGGGACGGCCTCAAATAGAGGCACTTATGGGCGGGATATGGCGGGAAAACCTCTTTGGTGGTCAGAGAGGTTGCAAAGGGCGCCGGGAAGGGTTTAAAGGCAGGCTATATACTGCCTAACGTCGCTTTCTGTATAAAACTTCTTTGAAAGCGCCAGGGTGGTCAAAGAGGCTGCAAAGGGCGCCGGGAAGGGTTTAAAGGCAGGCTACTGCCTAACGTCGCTTTCTGAAGCCAGTAGAAAACCTCTCTGAAGCAGCCTGGTAGATGGTTAAAGTAGGTGGTCAAAAAGGCTGCAAAGGGCGCCGGGAAGGGTTTAAAGGACTGCCTAACGTCGCTTTCTGAAGCGAGTAGAAAACCTCTCTGAAGGCGCCCGGTAGTAGTCAAATGGTCAAAGAAGATGGTCGTTTAAAGGCAGGCTACTGCCCAACGTCGCTTTCTGCAGCCAGTAGAAGCGCCGGGTAGATGGTCAAAGTACAGTAGATGGTCACAGTATATTGCACTAGGCGGTAAAGAGCCGCAAGAGGCGCCGGCAAACGTTTCATGGCGACTGGGGGCTTCAAACTGCGGGGGGGAAATGCCCCTTTTCCTCTGACGCTCTCCCCCTGCTGCTGCTGGGGCCGGCGGATATCTCATTATATATCTACATTGGACATGCTGAGAGATATAACTGTCGAGGTCAATTCAAAGACACACGGTGGTGCTTTTGGTTGGCTGTGAAACACATTTTTATTGCCAACGCTCAGCACATTTCCCCTCAGAGACTTGTTGACCAGTCCTATAGCTGCTGTTCAACATAGATCAAAGCAGCGATTGACGCCATGACCTGTGATTTTCCAATAGAAATCTCTGAAAAATATGCAGTGAGGATGTTTCTGGAAGAGCCAGAAGCTCACCTCCTCGGGGCTGGTGCATATGGAGAGGTATTTTTGGTGAGACGAGTCGGACGAGCTGAAGAGTCGACCCTGGCGTTGAAGCGCTGCTTTGACTGCTTGGTTCTTGATGACCCTGCCACACTGAAACGGACATACAGAGAGATTGCAGTGCTCCGGCAAGCGCGACACACCAACATTGTGGCTTTGAAGGACGTTGTCCTGCCAAAGACAGGATGTGATTTGTATTTGGTCTTCGAGCTAGCTTCACAGGATCTTGAGCGAGCAATACGATACAACCTGTTTGATGAAATCTCGCGGAGAAGAGTCTCGTATGATGTGGCATCAGGGTTAAATTTTTTGCATCTATGTGGTTTGATGCATCGCGATGTGAAACCAAGCAATATCCTTTTGGACGATTCCGGCCGGGCCAAACTCTGTGATTTTGGGTTCGTACGATATGTTTCTTGCGCTTCCTCCGCCAAAGCTTTCACCGAATATGTGGGCATGCGGTGGTACCGGGCTCCAGAGCTCTTACTGGGATCAACGTCGTACAATCAGAACATCGATGTCACTTGCTGAGCAAAGTACGCAAGGATAGCATTTCCTCAAACATTTTAGTGCGACATGAGGACATTTTTTCCAATCTGGACGCTCATATTTAACCGCCTTCGGCGTGTTCCGCCGGCCACCATGGAAAGAGCTATCCTGTAAGCTGCAAACAGCCCTTGCACAGGCCCAGAAAGAACATTATTTTGCGTAAAGCATGATGTTTGCGGATAACACAGTTTTTGTGTAAAACAGCTCTTTGTGTAAAAGAGGGTTTGGACGCAAAAACATTGGTATTGTTCAAACCGCGGTTTAAATTTAAACCAAAGCATGTGTGTAAACCAGGGTTTTTGAAAAGGCAATATTGAGAAAGGCCTTGGAAAAGGCCATATTTAGAAAGGTTATGCGGTATGCGTGTAAAAGTTGTTCGGCACAAAAGCCAGTGGATCAAGTACTGGATATAAGAAGCGACGGAGCAAACTGATGGCAAACACAACAAAAAACGGAAACAACAATATGTGCAAAACCAAGCCGGTGTTGAGCGAGGCGTGGGCAGAGTTGAGCCCACCACAACGTACTTGTAAAGAAAGATGAAGACGAAACGAAGAAGGGCTAGGTGGAAGGGGGGAGGGGGGGGTTCAAGTTAGACGAGGCAAAAATCCGCGCCAACGGGAAAGTCTAGACAAAGATAAAGACAAAACAGACAGTACAACTACGAACAAGTAAGATCCACAAGACACGCCGGCAGGCCGGCGGATTGAAGACCAATGACTTTACTACTTTCTCGCTGTTGTTTTTTGATGACCAAGGTCTGGTCCTTCGGATGTGTAGTTGCCGAGATGGCCAGAAACTTGTTTGTTTTTGAGCTGCGCAGTTCACATTTCCGCGACCCTTGTTATTCTGGTCGTGACTCTCAAGGCTCTTGGAAGACCACTCATATCTGGGATGGATGCAGAGGAGACAAGTGGAATAGTGGAAGTCTTGCAAACCATTTGTTTTGTTTCTATGTCCACTTCATGGAATTCCATACGAGAGAAAGCTGCTCACTGTCTGCAGGTGGTCGTGTTGATTTCAAGCTCTGTGCCTGTGTACTGTGAAACCAAAATTGCAGGAACAATTGGGGCTCATCGTTGGACTATGTCTTGGGCGGCGTCCCACGCGATCGGAGGTGCGACATAACCCAGAGCGTGACTGAAGACAACAAACATATATAGGGGGGAACAGATTGATGGCACCCGGAAAAGTTGATTCGTATGCCATCAATACAAAAAAACATCCTCAAAACGAACCTTTTTTTTGGGCAACACTAAGATGGCACACAGGAGTCTGTGACACGTATTTCTTGTGTCGGTAAAACCATCAGTCACATTCAGATTGCATATATAGGGTGGCATGTTGTGCCATCGTAGTCGAGAATGAGACCCAGCAAATTTCCCCGGCATGCTGGAAAAGACCAGTTATTCAACACGAAGCCGTCCAAGTAAACACGTTTCCGCAAAAACGACCCAAAAACCATTTTCGAAATTTAGTAGTCTATGGCATCGCCTAACATGGCATCAGAACAAATTTGGGCCGCCTAAAAGTGGTCAATATCTTGAAGTTTCCTCTGAAAAACAGGTGGTTTTTTTCGGCGCTAGTAACCGCTAGTATCATTTTGTCAATGCGGAGGTGCACCGCCCCAAAAACTGGCGTTGCGAAAATCAAAATCTCAGGCCGCCAAAAAAAAATGTCAATCATTTTTGGTGCTGCACAATTTTGCCAAACAAGTAACGAATCAGGCCGCCCAAAAGAGTTTCACCCCTTGCTGGTTCCTATGTGAAACAGTCGGTTTTGAGGTTCTGAAGTTCATTTTTCGCAATGGAAAGGGAAGAAAAAAAACCAAACACCCAAACGTGGTCCATGTAATAGTGCCTCCTATGTGAAAAAGGTTGTTTTAGCAGCAGTTCTCATCTTTCTCGGACAGAATGTGCCTGGATGTGCAATCTTTTAGTGTTACCGGACATCCCCTCGTCAAATCCCCAAAAGGACCCAAAAGTTCTTTTTGATGGTTTTTGCATGTTTTTTGCAAAATTTTGCAACAAGATCGGAAAATTAGGCCGCCCAAAAGTGCTCAATCTCTTATTGCGTCCTAACTGAAAAACGTATAAAAAGTTGGTTTTGATTTTGAGGCGCTACGCTTTATTTTTTCGGAATACGTGCCTGGATGTGCCATCTTAGTGTTCTGCGGCAGCCTCCCAAAAAATATCTGGCCACCCAAAAACGTTTCACCCCTTGCTGGTTCCTATGTGAAACAGTCGGTTTTGAGGTTCTGCTGTTCTTTTTTTTGCAATGGAAAGGGAGGAAAAAAACACAACCACCCGAACGTGGTCCATGTAACGATGCATCCTATGTGAAACAGGTAGTTTTAGCAGCAGTTTTCAACTTTCACGGACAGGATGTGCCTGGATGTGCCCAAAAGTATCCAAGATCTTAAGAGTGGTTTTTGATGGTTGTTGCATGCTTTTGCAAAATGCTGCAAAAAGATCGGAAAACCAGGCCGCCCAAAAGTGCCCCTTGCTGGTTCCTATGTGAAACAGTCGGTTGTGAGGTTCTGCTGTTCTTTTTTTCGCAATGGAAAGGGAAGGAAAAAATTCAACCATCCAAACGTGGTCCATGTAATAGTGCCTCCTGTGAAAAAAAATCGTTTTAGCAGCAGTTTTCATTTTTGTCGGACAGAATGTGCCTGGATGTGCCATCTTAGTGTTCCCTGGCAACCTCCCGGCAAACCCCCAAAAGTATCCAAAAGTTGCTTTTGATTGTTTTGCATGTTTTTGCAAAATGTTGCAAAAAAAATAAAAAATTAGGCCGCCCAAAAGTGCTCAATCTCTGACTGCATCCTTTGTGAAAAAGATGGTTTTGAGGCGTTACGCTTCATTTTTTCGGAAGCGACACGCCTGGAATCACCTGGCTGTGCCATCATAGTGTTCCGTGGCAGCCCCCCACAAGTTGTGTTGAAAAACATGGGCCACCCAAAAACGTTCACCCCTTGCTGGTGGCGCGGTCGACCTGAAAACGCGCATTTTTTTCACGCACTTCCCATAGGCACAGAGCGTTATTGCGCTTTTTTTTCCACGTACGTCATGGTTTCCCGGTGTTGGGGTGGGGTGGGGTGGGCTAATAACGTCCATGTACGCTTGCGATGTCACGTTGAAGTAACGTTCTTGCTCGCTGTCATCGCTACGCTATGCTACGTTTACTGTCGCTTTGCCCGTCAGTTAGAAGTATTGCCCGTTAGTTAGCAATATTGCCCGTCAGTTAGAAGTATTGCCCGTTAATAGAAGTATTGCCCGTTAGTCAGAAGTATTGCCCGTTAGTCAGAAGTATTGCCCGTTAGTTAGAAGTATTGCCCGTTAGTTAGAAGTATTGCCCGTTAGTTAGAAGTATTGCCCGTTAGTTAGAAGTATTGCCCGTTAGTCTGAACTTGTGCACGAAGGATAGTGTGATTTTCTTGGGGAACCGGGTGGGGCGGGGGGGGGGTGGGGGGGTGGGGGGGCCAAGGGGTACGCTGTAACATGATGTAACATGCCAGACGCTCTTGATGCTACGCTGCAACATGTCTCTTTTCACGTGCCAGACGCTCTTGATGCTACGCTGCAACATGTCTCTTTTCACTTGCCAGACGCTCTTGATGTTACGCTGCAACATGTCTCTTTTCACTTGCCAGACGCTCTTGATGCTACGCTGCAACATGTGGAGGGGGTGTGTTACGTACTTTTTGGGACGTATTCTGCTATCTTACACGCTACGGATTCTACGTTGTCACATGTCTTGTGTATCTACGATCAAGTCAGTAAAGTAAAGCCTGTGATGTTGACATTCGAAAGTTCAGATTTTTTTACCAACTGGTTTGCCCTTCATCGGATCCATGACACTTTTGTTTCGCTAACAACGTGGGCTCCCAAGGGTAGAGGTTGTTCTCATGTCATACATGACTCATCTCATTGTTTCTGACAAATGATCGTTTAAATTCATGCAACCTCTTTATTTTTGAAACAATGATACTTCAGGGGACATGTATCACCTTGACAAAGACAATGCGTGGCTGCCATGAACTAGACGACGGTTGGCCCGAGAGCGAAAAAGATGTTTTTCAAGCAGCTCTGAGGATGGTAGTCGTAAAAGATAGTCGGTGAATGGAATGGTTGGTGAATTTTATATGAGCTATGGAGGGATAAGGTGTGAAAAAGTAAGATTGATTAAGAAGAGGATACTTGGTAAAGGGCATCAGATGACACGTGTCTTGCAACCACAGAGAGAAAGAGGGAGGGGAGAGAGAGAGAGAGAGAGAGAGAGACAGAGAGAGAGAGAGAGAGAGAGAAGGAAAGGGGGGTAGAAAGAAAACATGGAGAAATATAATGTGAGCAACAAAAATGCACAGGAGGCTCGGTACCATGATGCTGCGAATGACACACATTGCCGAAAAAGCTCGGCACCATCATGTGAGGGTGTGAAGATGTAGATCAGCAGATGTGAGGGTGGGAAGATGTAGATCAGCAAATGTGAGGGTGTGAAGATGTAGATCAGCAGATGTGAGGGCGTGAAGATGTATTACAAGGGCTGTTTTTTTACGAAGAACCCTTCGCAGGCGCTCTCGGGAAAAATGAACAGCCAGAGGGCGTCTGACGGCGCGCGTTTACAGGACGACCGAGCGTTGCTAGTTCCTATGTGAAGCAGTCGGCTTTGAGGTTCTGCTGTTCTTTTTTTTTGCAATTGGAAAAGGGAGGGAAAAAAACCCAACCACCCAAATGTGGTCCATGTAACAGTGCATCCTGTGTGAAAAAGGATGTTTTAGCAGCAGTTTTCATCTTTTTCGGACAGAATGTGCCTGGATGTGCAATCTTTTAGTGTTCCCTGGTAACCCCCTGGCAACCCCCCGCCAACCTCCCGCCAACCCCCTAAAAGCGGTTCTTGCATGTTTTTGCAAAATTTTGCAACAAGATCGGAAAATCAGGCCGCCCAAAAGTGCTCAATCTCTTATTGCGTCCTAACTGAAAAACGTATAAAAAATTGATTTTAGGGCACCACGCTTCATTTTTTCGGAATCGACGTGCCTGGATGTGCCATCTTAGTGTTCCGTCAGCCCCCCGCAAGTGGTGGTGAAAAAAGAATTGGCCACCCAAAAACGTTTCACCCCTTGCTGGTTCCTATGTGAAGCAGTCGGTTTTGAGGTTCTGCTGTTTTTTTCCACAATGGAAAGGGAGGAAAAAACCCAACCACCCAAACGTGGTCCATGTAATGGTGCTTCCTATGTAAAAAAGGTATTTTTGCAGCAGTTTTCATTTTTTCGAACAGGATGTGCCTGGATGTGCCATCTTAGTGCTCTCTGTTAGTTAACACCCCAAAACTGGTTTGTCAAAATGTTGCAAAAAATTAAAGAATCAGGTTTCCAACAAGGTGTTTAAGCCATTACTTTATCCAATGTGAAACAGGTGGTTTTTGAACCGTTTCTTTTTGTTTTTTGATTTGATGTGCCATCTTGCTCCCCCAAAACCCGTGGACAGATGGGAACAAAAAACTGCTGCTGCCCAATGTGTTTTTTCAACACTAAGATGGCATAAATTAGTACTAGATTCCTTGAATTGATCGTAGTGATTCTGCTGTTCGTATTTGGGCAGACACGCTAAGATGGCACATTAGCGGCAACCCACCCATTCAAAATGCAATCAAAATATTTTTTGACATTCGCTCGAAATGCCATCTTTTCTTGCGCAGTGAAGATGCCATCTATTCGTGACCCGGTATAAGTTCTAGGGCTCTTGAAACGTGATGGTAACATGAAACAATAGACACAATATATCACAGTATCATATCATATACCGTGGTAGAGCAAGAGCAATCAGTAGCATGCCCTTCAGAGGCAGACATCCTATGCATCCAGCCAGACCATGCTTTGTGCGGCATCCTTGGTGTGCGTGGTAGATGGTCTGACTCTAATGACAACTCAATTGCCATGCGTTCTTGGTCTTGTTACACATCTTACGTACTGCAACAATTTGCTCAGTTGAATCATGCAGACTTGCAAAGGCTTTGTGAGAACTTCGCCTCTGGGTCCTTCATTGGAAAAGAAACTCTCTTCGGCTCACAGCTCAGGTTTTTGCCCATTTTGCTCCACTGAAAAACATAATTATCCACCCTGCAGCACATGACAATTGTGCTTTCCTGTTTGTACTTTCTCGTTTTCACGACACGCCCTGTGCGCCCTGTGTGACAGGTTGCCAGTTCTCAAGAGTTGGAGCTACTTCGTGCTGAGCCCAGGCAGCTCAGGGATTGGAAAGACTGACCGCTCCACCGCTCTGCGACCCGAGGCAGCTGTTTGAAGCTGTCTCCGGCGGAGCGATCATCTGACCAGTCCTCAGATGGAACCTCCATGATAAAACGTGATGAAACATATCCTTTTTCAGTTGCCGTCAACACTGAAAACAGGTTCCGGTGCGCCATGGGTTGAGATCTCCTTGTGGAAAGGCAGCAGAAATCTTGCAGAATCCTCTCTACACAGATCTGCAGGCCATTGTTTGAATGCGACTAAACTGCCACATCCATGCCACAAGTCTCAACACACAATTTTTAGTTTCTGGCAGATTTTACCATGGCAGAACGTGCTTTCTCTACTTACGTCACTGCCATGGCCCACTGAAGGAGGCAGAAACTGCACCTGCGGGAGAACCTGTGAGATTGATCATCGACGAACAGGACGTGAACACGACGCGCAGTGATGTATTTCTGTTGTGCACTGGCAGAGACCGCTGAATCATTCCCATTTTTCCCCACCTGCCAGGTGAGGGTTGTTAGATTTTATGTCAGTTGCCTGGTCCTCCTCGTCCTCCTCGTCCTCCTCCTTCTCCTCGTCCTCCTCCTCCTCTCGGTGTCCTCCTCGTCCTCCTGCTCAACTGCGACTCGCGATCCACAGTGTTCTCTGCCGGACCTCCACCACGACCATCCACGCCCAGTGTTCCCTGCCGGACCTCAACCACGACCATCCCCGCCCAGTGACCATCCACGCCCAGTGTTCCCTGCCGGACCTCAACCGCGAGTATCCCCGCCCAGTGTTCCCTGCCGGACCTCAACCACGACCATCCACGCCCAGTGTTCCCTGCCGGGCCTCAACCACGACCATCCACGCCCAGTGTTCCCTGCCGGACCTCAACCGCGAGTATCCACGCCAAGTGTTCCCTGCCGGACCTCAACCACGACCATCCACGCCCAGTGTTCCCTGCCGGACCTCAACCACGAGTATCCACGCCAAAAGATATGCCACATAGAGTGCCAGAAGATATGCCAGATAGAATGTTAGAAGATATGCCAGATAGAATGCCAGAAGGTATGCCAGATAGAATGCCAGATAGAATTTCAGATAGAATGCCAGAAGATATGCCAGATAAAGTGCCAGAATGTTTGCCAGATAGAATGCCAGCAGATTTGCCAGATAATATGCCAGAAGATATGCTAGATAGAATGCCAGATGGAATGCCAGAAGATTTGCCAGATAATATGCCAGAAGATATGCCAGATAGAATGCCAGATGAAATGCCAGAAGATATGCCAGAACATATGCCAGAAGATATGCCAGAAGATATGCCAGAACATCTGCCAGAAGATATGCCAGAAAATCTGCCAGAAGATATGCCAGGTAGAATGCCAGAAGATATGCCAGATAGAATGCCAGATCGAATGCCAGAAAATATGTCAGATAGAATGCCAGAAGATTTGCCAGTAACAAAATGTATAAATGTCATGGTGGGGATCACACGAAGTAAAGTAATTTTTTTGCCGGTGGGTATGGTATGTATGTTGACACTTTTTCTGATGGGTTGATATGGATTGGAAGATGAAGGACACACCTCCCGAGTTGATTTTGAAGGCGATTGAAGATGAGGCGGCATCCCTGTTCTGTACGCCCTTTTTGACATGTTGTTCCAACATGATATTGTGAAGCTGGTTCAATCGATAGGTTCTCAAAGCGAAATTGAGTCACATAATGAGCCACATGTACCTGGAAACAGCAAGAGTGCTGTGTATAAGTGCTTTTTGCAGCGGGAGGTGTATACTGTATCCACATGTGCAAACACCCCGATTTGCTTGCCGCGCTATGCAAACACAATAGACAGTGGGAAAAAAACAGGAGAAATCCAAGGAAAAACCCTGGCCCGAGGCCTTAAACACCTAAGCATACTACATGCATCATACTGCATCCAGCAACATAACACATCGCAATGTCTCGATGTTTTGCCTGGGCGTTGCCATGTGAGTGTTTCACCAGTCTCTTTGGCAACCGTCGTGTAGTTTCGGCAGTCGAGGCTTCCGTGGCTTCCAATGAGCCAGGAAGATGTGCTCGAATACAGGGACTGTCTCCTCTTGCAAGAGCATCTACGAAGTCTCCTGAGAAGGAGATGCGCCAAGTGTTTCAGCAGATTGGAGCCAGGATCTTTGAAGAACAACTAGATATGTACCTCTGCCAGTATTTGGGCTACGGGCAGGCTGAAGTGGAACGATTTTTCAAGCTGTACAGCACACCAGATGAAGGCCTAAGCTTTCCTCGTTTTAAGCAAGGCTATTGTGACCTGAACCCATTCTTCATCAGCAAGCGCAGGTCAGAGATTATTGTGAGAAAGCCCGGGTCACTGGGTCAGCAGCAGGTAAATCTGGAAGACCTGTGCGCCTGCGAAGTGTACATTTGCGATCCACCTGGACAAGCATTTGTGGATGGATGCAAGGATTGCCTCATCCTCCTGACTGCATTTGATGGGCCTGCGTGCTTCCGTGATTGTGAGGGCTGTACTTTCTGGGTAGCCGCGCAGCAGGTCAGATTGAAAGACTGCAAATCCTGCACATTTTACATCTATGCCAAAACGCCGCCTACCATGGTAAATTGCAAAGATATCTCAGCCGCCCCATGGTGTGCACATTTTTTGAACTGCAGGCAGCACTTTGAATCTGCTGGCTTTGACGTCAAGCGAAACTTCTGGAATTCATTCTCTGACTTCAGCGGTAAGTCAGGATGTAACTGGCGAATCTGTGCCTTGCATGAAGTGGTTCGACTACTTCTCCACTTGGATGAAGGTGAAGCTGCTGATTCTCCAGACAATCCTTGTCCAGCGCCAACACACGACTTGCTGTGCCAGGGGCCACTTGCTCCAGATGGCCTGGAATTAGAAGGACAAACAGTCTCACATGTTTCACAGATTCCGCAGTCACCTCCGTGCCCGCCAGATCCGCCTTTGTGCCCTGTTTTGGATTTGGAGGTCAAGGATTCAAAGCAAGCTGCAAGATTGGTTGGTGCGGCCTTTCTGAACCGAGCGAGATCAGTGAGACAGCAGAAGGTGGTTTTGAATTTGATTTCTCGATCAGTCTGTAAACTGAAGTAATTTGCAATTCGGATCAATCACGGCTTTGCCAAAGTGTGCAGCCGTTCATAGAAAGGATGCTCTAGAACCTTAGTATTGTTGCTTTCAGGCAGGAGAGTGAAGGCTACCGGCGAGAGGGCAACAGTGAGCCTATGCGAAAGTCTGGCTGTTGCTTCGCAAGACTTTTGCAAAAAAAACATTCGTTTGGGCATGCCTGATTCACATCTGTGGGATTCAGCATGCAGTGCCAGGTACAGCTCTTGAACCAAGGCACTGGGCATTGCCAGGCATTGCGACATTCTGACATTCTCCTTTGTTTCGTGGTGCTGCCAGGCAAGACTTGTCCTGCGCAGGAAAGGAGTGGCGCATAGTGGCGCAGCAGAGGACAAAATCAGGAAACAGCATGAAACAGCAGCGGGACAACAATTGGACCAGTTCGCTTGAAGTCATAGAAGTCATAGAAGTCATAGAAGTCATCAGTAACTGTGTGGAACAAAGCACTTGCATAAATCATCATAAATCTGCAGAGTTGTAAGCGGAGTGTTGGTGAATCTTTGAGTATCATCAAGAACTTTTTTCTTCGAATTAATAGCTCACTGCCTGTGGACTCTCGGCTCTGGAAGTTTTCAGTAGGAATATTGCTCTTGACCGTCTTGACCGGCTAAATCACAGTCATAGTGACAAAAATAAAACATGGGCAACTTCATAGCTTGGCAGCGGCACTTTTGAGATGCTGCTCAGCGCCAAGTTCTCTCAGCTTTGCAGAATCGTTTTAACCGTTAAAGAAAACCGAGTGTTTCAATCCGGCTAGCGCTAGCTGCTACGCACGAGGCTTTGGAGTTTCGTGAAGGCACTTTTAGGGTCTTATGCTATTTTTTTGTTTGACAGGCGATGTCAGTAAAGCCCGAGTCTTAGAAATTGCCGTCCGCCAGATAGAATGCTTGTTGCTGGTGGCGCAATCAAACCTAACCAACTCAAGCAAGATGGCTTGAGTTGCTGAAGTTGACTTGACCAGCTGTGGTAACAGTCTTTTTTGTTCATCTGCTTTCATTTGTTCAGGAACAACTCCAGACCAGGCAGCTTTGTTGTCGTGAGACGTGTGTGGAAAGGGCATGCATTTTTCTCTCAAAGCAATGCATTCAGCATCACTAAGACTGATATTTCAGTCAGCACAACTGCATTTAGGAGAAAAATCATTTGGACGTTGGCTCAGTTGCTTCCAACATGCTTCCAACGTAGAATGCAGCAACAGCTGTAGCTCTGACATTGCGGGCTGTGCCTGGCAGCGACCATTTCTGCTCCAAGATTCGATCTCCTCAGGAAATAAATCCACCGAATCGACCGACTTTGATGCCATCCTTTGGGAGGCACAGCACCCGACATTCCAGAGATTCTTGTTGAGGAAATTTGCCACCATGAATTCACACGTGCTTCAGCATGAGACAGACTCTACCATTTGTTGATCCAGGATCCTTGGTTCAGCATTCCGAAATATTCCGAAACTCAGATGTTCAAAATTTGCGCAGGGAACTTCTTAAGGATAATCATGGCTTCAATATCTTCAATGGTCAACATGGTCAACATTCAAAGCAGACCTCAACGGTGCCAGCGGGCATTCGTCAGGGCTTCGAAGCCTTGGCGAAAAAGGTACAGGAACATCACGAATATCTGAAGGCAAAATCCAGATGCAACCTGTGAGGATCCTTGATGTCTTGGACAGTCTTAGACATTCTTGGACACTTCACTTTGAGATACTTTCAGCCTCTTTAATGAAGTTATGTGCTGTGATTTTGTGACTGCAATCCCTGATAGCATTGGCATTGTCAGAGATGGACAGGCACGCAGCGCAAAGCCTGGAAGAGGCTTGTTCCGGGAAAGAGTTTGCTAGAATTTGATTTTGATAGAATACATTAATGATCATTAATGATACATCATATAATGACCAACATATACCAGCATTAGAAACCCCAGCGCCGACTGGTGATTCCTGATCACATTTGCTTGGTCATCGACACTGTTGGAGGACCTGATGATGTTTCGCCCTTAGTGCGCTGTCCAGAAATACAGTGGACCACATAGGCGCAGTGATTTCGTCTTTTGAGCTGCTATCCTTGTTAGAGGCGGCTTCTATTATCTCATATTGTATCATTTTTTCTGACATGTACCGATTATATGCAGTATCTTGACGTTGTTTGACGCTGTATTTCTTGTTGCCGTTTAGTTGGAACATCCCGTTTTTGGGTATTGAACTGACCACATCCCTCACCACACAGTCTTGGCGCCAGCGTTTCGAGCCATATGGGAATGTGGGATCACAAGGGCATGCATGAGAACCATGAGAGGCCATCGGTCCTGCAGCTGATTCTGTAACTGAGGAAAATCAACCAGCTCCTTCAGGCCCTTTGAAGATGTATATGTCTGCATAGTTCTATTTTCAGAGGCTGTGTCCAGTTCAACTTGGCTCTACCAAAAAAATCACCGTTTCTAAAAAGTACAGGTGAGTCGAGTGTCATGAGGATGTGAAGTGTGCCATTTGGCGAAACCAGGTGATCCGCAGGTTCTGCCCTCGCGAGAGTTGGGCAGCTGAGTATTCCAGACCATTCCAGACCTCAAGATATGAAGAGGTTTTAATTTCAACATATTTCAACAGACTGCTGACCCACTAGGTGCTGCAGCTTTTTTTCTTATATAAACAGAAGACATGAGGCCGGAAAGAGGGAGCATGAGCAGGCTTCCTGTCTTAGACGAGGAGGTGGAGGCGTGGATGCACAAGAAAAGACTGACAAATCAGAGACGGAGTTGAGGGAAGTGGGCGTTCGCCCCATTTGCGAAGCACTAGCAGCTGAAGGCCAACCCCGCTGCCCCGCTGAGCTCTAGTGGTGACTTGGCCGATACTATGAAGCAAGGTTTGACTGTTTGACTTTATTGCAAACAATTTCTTTGTCAGTTCTTGGCGCCTTCGAAACTGAGGAAGTTTTGCCTTCCAAGGTCATGGCTGACAGTTTTTGCTTTCCGGAATATCATTGATGGACAAAGTATAATAAGTGATGAGCACATTTCCACTTGCACTCGCTTGAGTTTGGCCATATATTTTTTTTGCTCAAGCTGTTTCGTCGAAGATCTAAATGAGACCCATATGGAATGTAAGTCGACAGCCTCTAAGGCGGCTGAAGCACTGTGTAGCCGGGACCTACCCCTACTTGTATGCTTGAAGCGTACAATGGTTTCCTTTGCTGCAGATGGGTTTTCAGGGCTGGAGCTACACGGGAAATCCATGGCAGTTGCCTACATCCGTAGTTTTATTATGTTTTATTTGCATCCTTTTACAGTAAAAAATCTGGCACGGTCTTTCTCCACTGCGTAGTGTATGTCCAACAGCTATTCTTTGCTGGCAAGCCGCTCAGCACCCATGGCACTTCTTGCTGGGGCAGCCACTGGTCACGTGGAGCTTGCTGGTGTCAAGCAATGGTGGGGCACCGACATTTCAGAGATCTCCTTAGATGTTTCTTGGGTAAAAAGGATGTGTGCCAAACGCAACAGTTTACACAAGCCCGTGCCAGCGGTTTGGCACCTAGGACATCCTAGGACCATGCTTCATTTGACAAATTCTTCTAGCCAGTGCAGTTAGGTTGCCAACGTCGAGGATGAGACCCGCGAGAGACTGGGAGTCCCTGGATGTTGCGACAGGTCGTGTGAGCTGATCTCCAGATGCTGCAGCTGTTGTATATTGGGAGTGACTTAGCTGCATCATGCAAAGAGTTCGACAGCGTTCGTGTTTGTTCACACTTGGAACCAGAAACTCGAAGCAAGTCGTTGCTTAGTGGTCTCAGACGGTCTCAGGTTGTTTTGCCTGTGCTTCTCCTGAGTGCAAGTGGTGACTTTGGACAGCTGATTTGGCGAGAACTTGCTTCCATTCTCGGTGTGGCACTATTGGTTGTTGCCTTGGCATTTTGTTGCTGCAGCTTGCGACACACTTGCTGCGAGGGCATGTTCAACCTGCCGGAACCAGCGCCACTAGTCCCTCCCCTGTGCAAGAACTCTCAGAAAACAATTTCAGTCCAGCGAGTGCTGCTGATATACAATCCAAATGCAGGAAAGCGACAAGCTGAACTCATCTTGAATGGGGTTGTATTGCCTGGTTTGCGGAAACGTGGAATCGACTGTGATGTTGTAGCCACTGAGCGAGTAGGACATGCCTGTGAGATCGGGATGACCTCGGACCTTCGAAGCTATCAGGCAGCTGTAACTTTGGGAGGAGATGGTACATTTCACGAGCTGGTGAATGGGATCCTTGCACGAAAAGATGGTCAACGTGTCGCAGTGAGTCTTATCCCACTGGGCACTGGAAATGGATTATCCGCGACACTTCGGCAAAACATGCAGAGACGAGGTGAAGAGGTGTCAGTGTGGTCTGAACTCGACTCGGTGTTGGAATGGTCATTGGAGCGAATCGCAGGTGGCCGCCTTGCTTCAGTTGATCTTCTGGAAGTTGAGGTGATGAATAAGCGCTTGGTGGCCGTGATGCAGGTCTACGTGGGGCTGCTGGCAGAACTTGACCTGGTGGCAGAGCCGCTCCGTTGGATGGGGCCGGCCCGTTTTGATCTCACTTCCGTCTGGATGATTTTGCGCAAGCAAGCGCATCCGCTGGAATGTAAACTCACCTTTGCGGATGGCACGTCACATGCCTGCAATCTGTCCTGCATCGGAGCAAGTGTTGGCTTATGCCAGCATTTTGATGACAAGCTCAGAGCCGTTCCACAGGCAAGTATGAAATAGTATGAATCAGTATGAACTCTATTCTACTAATTATATAATTGCTCTTCAGATTCTTTATAGTTGTACAAGGAATTATGTGGTTTTTAAATGCTTTTACATGCTTCTGCTGCTTCTACCCTTGAAAGCAAGCTGAGAAGAAAACATGTAGACTGTCGACACTTTTGAATGGTGGTACATCTTGGATTATATTGGTACATGCAAACAAATCCATTGGAACATTGCTTTCCGCACAATCTTTCGCAACCTCTTCCGAGCAGTTAAATCCGAATCCAGTTAAACACTGGAGGTGTTTAAGACATCAAAAAATCCCCAGCCAGTTTTACAATGTTTTACAGCAATTCTTTGGCAGTCCAAAGTAGAACTTTGGAGCCGGGGCAGGCGCAACTGGATGATGGCCTGGTGGAATTCTCCAGCATCTCATCGGATGCCAGCGTGGATCAGCTCATGGCCGGCTTTCTGAAGTTGGCGCGCGGGGCCCACACGGAGGATCAGGAGACTGTGATTCAACACATCTTCATGATCTTCATATTTCAAACTTCAAGACCTAAGGATTCAAGGATCTAAGTGATTTGCAGGTCAGTTTGCTGTATGCTGCGGTTAATACATTTAATAAGAAGTGTCATGCAGTAGTTGCAAGTGTATACTATATAAAGAACATATAAAGTCTCAAGCTAGGAAGATCTATATGATGTTCCACACTTACACAATCATTAGCAACCTAACCTGATCTTGATGAATCGGTTCAGCTTGTGAATCATTGTGAATCCACAGACCCCAGGCGATCTGGGAATCCAAGCAAGTGACTGCGGTGGAACTGCGCTTTGAGCGGCCCGGGCTTTTCAATGTTGATGGCGAAGTCCTGGAACATGACGGCCTGCTGCGTTTGCGAGTTTTGCCCGGAATGATGGAGATGTTAGTTCGAACCCCAGAGCTATGCTTGACTTGGCTTAGCATGCTTAGCATTGTTGGAGAAAGGTCATTGAGCAAAGAACTTGCATTAACAGTAGGTTCACGTAGATACATGATGCTATAATATGCTATAATATGCTATATTTATATATGTAATATACGCATTATTATATACGCATTACATAATGTACAATCATACATATACGTGTATATATACACGCACTAATAATATATGCATGATTATAATAAAACAACACACACATATTTAAGCGTGCATATTTTGCATTATTTTGCTGGGTAGTAGAATTATTTTTCACCTAAGGTTGGCAAGGAAGAGGCTGAAAGTGCTGCACCAGCAGAAGATGCCAGACACACAGCACCATGGGGTGCTGACAGGAAACGATGGCGGATGCTGGCCCTCTATGCTTTGGGATGCATGGCCAATCAGGCGATGTGGATTGGATTTGCCCCCATTGAAGCGGAGGTGATGGACACATTTGGAGCGTCTTCCACGTGGGTGAACCTGTTGTCCCTGGTGTTTATGATTGTTTCTTTCCATGAAGGCCCCAATGGCCCAAAGGCCGTTGCAATTTTTGGAAGTTTGGAGATGTTGAGGGATGTCGTAGACAGACCCGGGTTCTGCGCTTCCAAGTTAGGAACACCAGGACCAGGTGTTTTTTGCATGGAGCACTGGATTTGAGGTTTACTTGCCAGCAAATTTTCCAGCTTCGTACGCGATGGATGTGCTTGGTTGCCGCAGGGGCTCCAAGATGGTCCAAGTCTGGGATCATTCATCCCTGATTGGGTGGTAAAAAACATTGAATTGGCAAAACTCAATAGGGGAATATAGGGGATGATGGGCTCAGGGGATGGATATCAATCACTGAATCGTAATTTCATGGGATTGTGATGACGATTGCGATATCAATTACACACAATGTATTGTACGATTTTTATGTATTACTGTAACCCTGATGATAAATGTACAGTATTCTATCGTCAGTTGTTCCCAGAAAGAAGAGCTCAGTGATGGCCCAGCGACCCAGCGACCCAGGCCATGCTCTCATCATCGGCGCTACGCTCCAGACCGTGGGTGCGCTCATTCGATGTGTGAAACCAGCTGCTCCGGGAAGTGCTTACCTGGCATCCCGGCAGAACATTTCACCAAACAGCCCTTGGTTTTGAAACAAGAATGTTGAATATGTTGATAATAGTACTGCGTCTTGAGAGTCATGAGTGGTCAGTTAGTTCATGTTTACAACAGGGTCTCGTTGTCGATGGGTTCGTCCAAGACTTTCTGTGTCCAGCTTTGGGAGGTCATGGCCGGCCAGACGCTTGCTGCACTTGGTCAGCCTTTCTTCACCGACATGCCTCCGAAAATCGCAGTTGACTGGTTTCCGCCATACCAGCGAGTGATGGCTGACACCATAGCCTCATTGTCAATGCCCATTGGAGCAGCGCTTGGATTTGTGTTACCTAGTGCTTTTGGCCTGCAGAACATGCTTTACGTGCATTTGATTTGGACCTCTGCAGCACTCTTGCTTATCCTGTTCTGTTTCAATTCTTCTCCAAGTAGACCGCCAAGCCCAGAGTCATCTCACCAGCATGCAGGGAAGTCTTTTGGAAAGGAGCTGCAAGCTGCATTGTGCAATGGGAGGCTTTGGTGTTTGATTTGTTCCTTCGCTTGTGGCTTGGGTTCTTTCAACACCCTGAGCACATTAGCTGCCCAGCTGGTCGGGCCCTTCGGTTTCAACTCAGATGCCGCTTCGGCCTTTGGTGTGGCCTGCACAGTCGGAGGCGTCGTTGGCGCCGCTGTGATGTCTGTCATCGTCGGATTGACAGGGAAGCATAAGCCCGTGCTGGCAACATGCTGCGTCAACTGCGTGATTTTCTCAGCTCTCGCAACACTGACAGTGGTGTACCTGGGCAATAGCTCCAGAGGATTCACTCTCCTGCTGGTGGCATTTGCAGGTCTGGGATTCTCAGCCACCCCTTTGATGCCCATCTCATTTGAAGCAGCTGTGGTGGTTGGTCATCCAACTGGTGAGGGAACGCTCGCTGGTTTGTGTATGTCTGGAGGACAGGTGCTTGGTATTACTCAAACTCTTCTGATTGGAGAGCTTTTGCAAAGGAACAGAGCAACAACCGCTTGGATGCTATCAGGTGGCCTCTTTGTCGTGGCTCTTCTTGCAGTGTGTCTTTTTAATCCCAAGAAAGAAGCGTTCACTCTTCCAGATGAACGATCTGAATGTGACTCCCATTCAGAGGAACCTTCTAGTTCAGCGTGAGTGCGTGTGATTTGCAGCTAGACTGGCGCATCCCCTGGTCCCTGACTTGACACTTTGGTCTCAACGTCGGGGAGGACATCTTCACCTGTGCCCAGTTGGGGCAAGGAGAAAAGATCTGGATAAAGCATGATAAAGCCAGCTTAGCTGTGGATTGTTGGATTGTTAGCTGTGGATGTGGATAATTATTGTTGATTGTCGTTGGATGGTTGCCAATCCATTGTTCATTCCATTGTTAAGCCATCAGAGGTAGAAATTGCACTCTGGAGAATGTGCCAGCGTTAGCAGGTTCGGCTGCAAGGCGTGTCATGACGGAACCAGCTACGGTCAAAGCCGATGAGGCGGAAAGACATGCAACCTGATCCAAGAATGTGGTTGGATGATGTTGGGATGATGGTTGATCATGATCCGGGGTACAGAGCCAATACTTTTCAATCATTTCAATAGTATTTGTGGCCGCAATAATTGCCGCAATAGTATCTGTGGCCGTGTTCCAGTGCTTGCGCATGTTGAATTGACGGTCATGAATCGCGGCTTTCAGGCTGGCACTACCGACCGAAAGTACGATCTTCTCAAGCGTTGGAAGTTCTGACCTTAGAAACGGTTGAAAAAAATGATGGCTTCTGACCTCAATTCTGCTTGATTTGAGACGCCGGTGGTGTTCCTTGTTTGCATGGAAACAAGACGAAACAAACATGACAGGAAAGGATCCAGGTTTCTTTCACTGCTTGTTTTCACTCATTTTGTTACATCTTGTTTATAGGGCGTTCATTAAAATGTTTGAAATATCATGAAATATGGTTTAAATCACTTGTTTGAGCCACATGTCTTGACAATTCTTGACATATCTTCTCCTCTGCAAGGACCATGGAAGGGCTCAAATCTCAGGTGCGCAGCTGATTGGGTCAGCTTTTTCATCACCTCACAGAGCCGGGCCAATGGTAGTGCAATGTGGTGATATGTGGTGCATGCGCCACATTTTCGTCAAAATAGATCAAGCTGTCTAGTCATTTTCTTTCCATTTTCTTTCGAACTCCTTCGTTTTCTGAGCAGGATCCGAGCGCTGTTGTTGCAACTGCGCTGTACCAGCAGGATGAGACTGACGAGTCAATCGAAGGCAAACGACACATATCGAACACTATCGAACACTATCGAACACTATCGAACACTATCGAACACTATCGAACACTATCGAACACTTCATGCGTGACCGAATAGATCCGAATAGTGGCTATTTTCCCGTACAAATTGCAGGCGCAGAGGTCCCCAATGTTCCACATATGCTTGATTTGCAAAATGCAGCTGTTCACTGTTCACTGTACTAATCTGCTCTGATTGGCTTGACAACCTGTATTTTTTCCACTTCAGACTGATTGCAAATCGTATATTTCAAGTCTACCAAGAAAGAAGAGGACTACTGTGGGAGAAATCCCATGTCGGTTCAGACATCTAAAAAACCACAGCAAGTCCTGCAGGCTCTGATGCTGAAGACACCAGCAGCAACCTGGCGATATGTCCCTACTCGGGCGATTCCACATTGGTCCAAGGATTTGACCCGTTGTTTCACCATGGCCACGTGTTGTCACCATATGTCACCATATTATGTCACCATATGTCACCATGTTGTTTGCATATGTTTGCTCTGGTAGTACTGGTAGTACGGTATACATTTAAGATCATTTTTGATCATTTAAGTCTTTAGCCTAAGGTGATTGTGGTGGACCACCTGGACCAGCCAGGAGGTACCAGATCAGTCGAGTTCCGCAAAGTTCTGGATCTATCAAATTTATTCAATTACATGTTTTTCTTTGATTTTGAAGCTGGAACAGCTGGAGATGTCTCTGTCTCAGGGAGTTTGTTTTGCATCTTTTTGTCCCGCACAGGTGTGTGAAGCGTGTGAACACGTGCATGACACCTTGGATGCTCTCTCCGAACTCGGTGGTTCGTTCCTGCCGGGCGCAGCAGTTTGCGAATGTTTGCGATACTTCACTGCCATAGCACACCGACCGTTTCAAGCCACTCGCCTTGCTGCTGTCAAGGTTGGGACTCTTTGGCTTGCTTCTTTGTGATCTACGAATGTATTGCATTGGCCTTGTTCAGCTGGGAGGTTGTTTGAACGCTTGTCAGCGGCAGTGTCGCCAGCTTCACCCGCCGCACCTGCTGAGATGATTCCCTTGGCCTTCTTTGACTTTGGTGAGTCCACGTTTCTGGATGTCATTGGCTGGATCGTTCCTCGACTTTCATATCTTTCAAAAGAGTATCAAGAGTGGGAGATGCCCAGTGGATGCAGAGTCCCATGAGACACCAAGGTACGACTCTTTTGGTCCATCGACTTTCCCCTCTCGTGCTTCACTGGTTACAATCTCCCTGGGGAGAGGATCGAGATGAGGCCTATGAAGGCCTGCATCGCCATGGCTGGCATGGCATCGATTGCATCGACGGCACATGGAGACACTGTAGTCTGAACTGGTCTAACACGCTTTATGTCCCAATGCAGCTGGAGGTCCTGCCTCACTATGCGAAAACTTGGATGTCACTTGTGTGGTGCTCAGACCTACCAACCTTTTGAACCTGATCGAAACAACCAAGATCCTGTTAGCATGTCAAACGAGAATGACAAGGCTCAGGCGCTGATAGCACTCCCTCCCCAATTGCAGTCCAAGTGTTCTTTGCTCTTTGGCCGGCTTCCATTAGAAGACATGACGGATCCACCTGTTCTGAAGCATTTGCTTGTCATGGTCATAAGCTCCAGTTCCTTATTGGTTTTAGCCTCCAACGTTTTTCATGTCCAACAGCATCTCATCAGAGTCTACACATGTGTTTGATTGTGTTTGTAAGTTTCGAGTTCCACGCAATTCGTTCCAGAGAAAAACTCCTAGGACGTCTCAATGCTTTGCGTTGATTGGGCTGAAGCAGATAGCTCAGATTGTCTGAGTTCAGATGAAGTTGACGCCAGGATTGACCCTTTGGAGGTACATCAGGCTTTGTTTGCTCGAGCTTGCATTCAGGTTGCCATTGGTGGAGTGGGCAGTTTGAATGCAGCACGCATGGGCAAGACAGTCGGGGCGTCCCAGCTGTGAAGCCAAACTGATTCCTGTCAGACATAGCTGGGCAGTCAGTTAGATACTATACGTAGTACTATCAAGTTACATGCAGTATCGTTGTTTATGATTATGATTCAACATGATATTGATATAGGTGTATCACCATACTCTTATATCCTAGAATGATAAGGGCAAACGGCTCGGAAAGAGGACATGTGTGCCACTGCCAAGTACTGCCAAGCCAATCCGAGATTCAACGCGTATCAGACCGTCTGGCAATCCTCCAAGACTGCCGTGCACTGCCGTGCCAGGTCAAGAGCCTGCGAATGATCCGAATGATGCGGCTTTGGCCGCCAGACCTAGTCCAGCAATGTCCAGCAGCTTGTGTCACGCTCGCGGTCATCAGTCATCCAATGCACGTGCCAACATGTGCCAACTCTGAATCTGGCTCTGAGGCGTTTGTTGAACGTCAACCGCCTGCCAGATAGCGTGAGAGTGCTGATTCATCACTACTTCCAGTCAGAGGCAGCATGCAGCACATCTTTTGTGGAATGCTTTTGAATGCTTCTGAAAGTCCAGCAAGCTCGTGTAATTGAACAGGTGAGTCGGATCGTTTTGGACATTTGCAAGATCCTGTTATTCCTGGTTTGGATCAACCACGTCGGGTCCCTTGAACACATTTTTGTTACGCATGCGTTTCAATTCCCTGCGCAAGTGCCATTGTTCAAGGTGTTGGCATGCTGCTGGCCACCCTGGCTGATTACATCAGTCCTTCCTCTCCCTGGTTTGCTTCATTTGTCCGTTATTCATCGTTTTTCACTTATTCACGTAATGTTGCTTAATGTTGCTTAGGTGTGAAGAGAATCACTACTAATAGCCAATAGCTCTACTTCGGCTTTGGTTCACGCATGCTTCAGAGATGCGAAGTCCAGGTATGGCATTGCAGATTCTGTGACCGCGGACGATAACAGCTGGCTCCAATCCCCACAATTCCAAGACCAGTTGGAAGCCCAGGTCAGGCCGCAAGTGTGCGGCATTCCGAGATGATTTTACAGACAGCATAATTGCCCAAGGGTCCAGGGTTAGCCCATGGAGGTGGGTGGGATAAACATGGATAAACACATTTTCGGATTAATTTGCGCAAATTGACAAGACTTCTGGGTTGGGGGGAAGCCGGGATGGGGATCGGGTTTACATGGGTTTACAGTGCCAAATCTGGCAGCCATGGGGCAGGTGAAAGAAAAACACATAGAAAACACGCATTAAATGAGAAGCAATGGCAGTACGCCAACACTGATGCCAGTGTCCATCTACTATGCCAGAGATCAATGTGTTCTTTCCCTAGCTGACAGCGCCTCCGCTTCAGGCAAGCAATATGGAATAGAACTAGACTGACTGAGGCAAATTCCAGGTAGTTGAGGTAAAATGCCAATCCAAATGTCACCACTCTGGAAGGCACACGCGCACAACGTATACAAGCAAAACTATACGTAGGCATGAACTAACTTGGCACAATTACCGGTCATGGTTTACCGGGGCACAAACTCGGACGCCGTATGCTAAAGCTGCTTAAAGAGTTTGGGAGCACTCCTTTTTGACCATGCTTTGCAAACTTCAAATTCATTTATAAGTTATAAGTCCTTAATTGAGTCCACGTTGTTATACATCCCTGAGCTGCTTGTGACGTGTCAGTCGCTGTGTCGACTCAGCAGATTTCAGAACTGATGCCTGCCGAACATTGTTCAAAAACATTCCTGCATACATATCATGCGTGTCTAAGATTGAAGAATCATGCACTTAGCTTGGAACGACTGGCATGAACCACTTGCCAATACACCTGACTCCATGTTGCCGCTGCCATTTACTTTCAATGTATCTGACGTAGGCCTAAAGCCATATGCTGCTACGCCTGCACCGGAAACAGCTGCTGCCGCTAGCTTTTGCAGCTGGATTTGTCAGTGGCACCGGAGCCGTCTTCGATCTTGGGCACCGCGCTTTGCTTGCTTGCAGCCGCTGCGCTCTCCGATCTCTTTGCACGGTGGACTATTTCTAGGTCCTAAAGTTCCTGACCGGTGATCCAAGCGGTGACCTGGAAACGTTCTTAAAGAACTAGAGTGCGGTCCTTTTGGTCTACATCACTCACAGCCGGCAAGCGCCTTAGACTGTGGCTGGTGGGAGGCCGAATTCAACCTTTTTTGCTGATTTTGTTTCATCTCCCGAAGGGGAGCCAAATTCAAGTCATGGGAGATGCAGAGAGGGACCAATCTGGAGGTGCCTGGTCTCGCGTTCCAGTTTGGGACGGATCGCCACAGACGTGGCGAGCTTTCCAGAGAGAAATGAAATGGTGGACTAGCAGCCTGGACTTAGAAGGAACGAAGAAATACAACCTTGCTGCACGTTGGTTGTTGAGGCAGTCAGGCGTAGTTCGCCAAAGAGGTGAAGAGTTCAATCCAGATGAACTTGAATACCAGAAGGAGGTCAAAGGTCAAGATCCACAGACAGGTGACGAAGTTGTCATTACGCCTGAGGACCCGCTGAGTGGCTTGACAAAGTTGCTGAAAGCGTTAGAGGGCATCAATGGCAAAACAACACTTGACAAACGTGGAGAGCTGAGAAATTTGTTTTACTTGGAGTTGAAAAGAAAACCAGGTGAACGCATAGCTGAGTTTTGCTCCAGGTTTAGAGTTTCTCTTGCAGACCTCAGAACGGAGGGAGTGACCTTGCCTTCCGGTGAAGTTGGATGGTTTTTCAAGACAAAGCTTGGTCTTGACCCACTGCGAGTGCAACTCCTGGAAACAGCCTTGCAAGGCGCTGAGTAGTACGAGACGATCGAACGTGAAGTTCTTAGACTTTTCAAAGATCTGCATTCTCAGGATCCGTTGGTGCGCAAGTCTTTTGGAGACAGCAACAACAAGGGTGGTTCCTTGATGCAGAGGTTTTTGACTTCACAGAATCCTTCAAGCAAGCCTTCGTCCTATGCACCTTCGATGGCTAGCTCTGTGCCGAGGTCCCACAGGACTTCTACAACTTCTGGATCAAGCAGGTTCAGCGGTTTTAGAAAGCCTTTCCCGGCCAGACAGGCCATGGTTTCTGAAGCAGAGGACCCTGAACCCGATGATGAAGCAGAGCTGTTGGAGGATGAGAATGAAGCTGAGCCGAACTTGGAGGATATGCTGAAAAGTGAAGCCGAAGCACTTGCGGCTGAGTTAGATGACGCTGCAGACAATGGCGTCGATGCTTCAACCCTGCAGGAGATTGAGGAATCAGTTGAAACTGCAGCTGAGGCGCTCCTGACGATGAAGGAGGCTCGAACAAAGTTGCAGGAAGTGAAACGTGATCGAGGCTACATGAAACCTTCTGATGGTGCCTCGAAAACAAACCCAAAGAAGACTGCCAAGAACCCTTGTTTCGACTGTGGCCTTCCTGGACACTGGGCTGGCGATCCTGAATGTGGAAAACCTGGACAAGGCCTGGCGAGAAAATCTTCGCTGAAGAAACCCAGCGGCCGACATGTCAAGGTGGTTGAGACCTTGAACACTGAACATGTGGATGATGTTAAAGGTGAAAGCCATGAGGTGCTCACCGTGTCGGCACAGCCTTTGTCCCAGTCCTTTGTAGCTGCACTTGAAGATGCCCACTCCGTGACAAAAGAAGCGCTGATTGCACAGCTGGCAGAAGACAAACGTCTTGTTGGAGCTTTGGATTCGGCATGCAACAGGACATGTGCTGGACCGGATTGGTTGAAAGGGTATCTTCATGGACTTCAATCTGCACCAGAAAGCATTAGGAGCTTAGTGACCTCAAAGCCTGAGCATGAAACCTTTCGTTTTGGAAATGGCGGCACCAAGGTGTCGGACATGCGATGGAGATTGCCAACAGTGATAGGAGGGAGGCTGTTTTGCTTTTGGTGTTCGGTGGTGCCAGTTCCATCCCTTGGTCTTCTACTTGGCCGTGATTTTTTGGAAAGTATTGGAGCTGATCTGTCCTTTTCACGCCGTGAACTTTGCTGTGAACGTTTGGGGGCTGAGAAGATTCAACTGAAACAGCTGGCTGCAGGACATTACCTACTGCCTTTGATTCCTGCTGCATGGCCAGGTGTGGGCTCTCAGCGTTGGCGTAGGATTGGACAAGATGGCATCATTGAGTTGCAGATGTCGACACCAGATTGGTTGAACTATTGTTTCAAGGGTCAACGTTCATTGAGGGTGGCAAAACATGACCATTTGCTCACAGAACACAGTGTACATGTTGGAAATTTGGTTTGCACCGTGATGTCAAGCCCTGTTTCTGGTCCTTCGGTTCAAGCAACTTCAATGCGCTCTTCTTCTGAGCACCGTGAACCGACTCCTTCCTCTACGACCAGGACGACATCAAGGACATCTGTGAGAAATGCTAGTGCCAAAGCTCGGCGTGCAAGCCGGCAGGTGGCGCAGAATGTTCCTCAAGCTGAACGAGCGCATGCTGTGGGCCGCAAGAGGCGTCCTGCTCTGGCTTTTACAAAGGCCTTTCTTGCGCTTTCTGCCCTTTCCATACCCCTCGACGTCATCAACAGACAAATGGTTGGAGCAAGCGCGCAAGCAGGTTTCAGCCGGGGTGATCTCAAAGCGCCATTTCAAGTTGGCGGTCGCCATGAAGCAGTTCACAATGGCCAATCTGGGAGAATTCATACGCCTGAGAGGACGCATTGGCCTCAAATTGGCGTTCTGCGAGGATCCGACGGTGGAGGGCATGTTGCAAGCTCTTCCAATGAAAGGCATGGCCAACAAGATCCGAAAGGCCGTTCAAGCAGAAGCTGTGGCCGCAGCCAAGCAGCTTGCCAGCGACAACAAGCGAGAAGCAGAGGCCCGGACCTTGATTGGACCGAAGGGCGGACTTCCTTCACTACGAGGGGACTTGGTGAGACTTGCAGCCCTTCTCCAAGTAACTCTTGGAGACAAGGACACCATCGAGGTGATCAAAGAAAAGGTGAAGCCAATGGTGGCCATCCTCAAAGAGAAGCCTGTGCAGCCGACCGCTGCAAAGTCAACAGCCAAAGCCAAAGCTGCCAAGCCGAAAAGCCATCCCAAAGATGCGAGCGCTTCGTCAATGTCTTCAGAGGTGCGCCCACTGTCAGTTCTTCAAGATCAGGTGGCAAGCTTGACAGCACAGTTGGAAGCAATGAAAGCCTTGCTGCCGGAACAGCACCAAGTGCCGGTGGTGGATCTCATGGAGGTGGACGCGAAATCGGAAGTGGAGTCGATGACTTCCGGGGATTACAAGCAAGTTCAAGAAGCGATGCTGGAGGATTGCTACGGGGACGCCCTGAGAGCACAATACGGGGACGTCGACCTGGTGGATCTGACACAGGAGCAGATCGAAGCAGTGGTGGATCCATGAACTTCCCTGACTTCAATCCCTTCAGTTTGAACCAGAAGATCAAGAGCGGCCAGGCTCAGATGATTGCACAAGCCTGGCAGAAGCATGAAGTTGATCGTTTGAAAACCTCCTGGGGCCCAGCCAAGATCCGTGAGACTTTGGTTGCTGACTATGAGAATGATTTCTGGCATGCATTGACGGAAGAGACCTTCATCCAACCCATGGTCTTTGATTTTGAGTCCTTTGCGGTTTCTGACGCCAATGCAGTTGAAAAGAATTCCAAGACTTCAAAGAATGCCAAGATTTCTGAGTATAAGCAGTTTTCCAAGAATGCCAAAGTCCCACCGAATGTCAAAGTTCCTGCGAATGACCTGGCCACAAAGAATGTCAACCGTTCTGAGCCCTGTGCAGGCTCGTCGAAGGTCAAGCCGTTTGTGACAGAGGTCTACACGAGTGCTGAGAACGTCATGAAAGAGGCCAGAAAACGTGGACACAATGTGGGGCAATCTATGTCCTTGGAAACTGGTTGGAACTTCTTGGATGCCAATGACAGGTTCAAAGCTTACAACAAGATCAGAGATGAAAAGCCTTTTTGCGTGGTTTTAGCATTTCCTTGCAATGGTTTCAGCCCTCTTCAACGTTTGAATGGACTTCATCCCGAAAGAAAAGCAGAAAGAAGGGCGATTGGTCGTGAACTCATGAAGTTTGCCTTGGAAATAGCTGAACTGCAAATCGGAGAAGGTCGTCATGTCATCTTGGAAAACCCTCGAGGCAGTGAAGCTTGGAATGAACCTGAGATGCTGAGTTTTCTTGAGGAGAATGAGCTCTACGCCGCTATCTTTGACCAATGCCGTTTTGGCCTCAAAAGCCTTTCTGGTTGGTTGCACAAGAAGCCAACGAGAGTGGTGAGCTCAAGTTCAGATGTTGCTGCGGAACTGGATGGAGTGACTTGCATGCGCAACCACCTTCATGCGCCAGTTCTGGGCGGCTCTCATGTGACAGCCCGTGCGGGCATCTACCCGAAGCCTTTGGCACGCGCCATGGTTAGGGGCCTTGAGAAGCAGTTTGAACGAGAGTTTGCTCCTCGTGAAGCTCTTGTTGCCGAAATTGGAGAGGATGTTGAGGAGGAGGAATTGGCTTTTGAAGGCGGTGGATTGGTGATGCCTCAAGATGATGGCAGTGATGTGGAGGACGAAGCGGATTCAAAAGGAACTGCAATTCCTGTTTCTTCTGGCATGCGTGCAACAATCCTTCGACTTCACCAAAACACTGGCCACAGATCGGGCAAAAGGTTAGCTCGAGCCCTAGCCATAGCGGGTGCACCTGCAGAAGCAATTCAGGCGGCAAAGCAACTACAATGCTCAGTATGCCAAGAGCGGCAACCACCTCGTGCACGTCGCCCTGCTTCTCTTCCTATGCCTCGTGACATGGGTGACCAAATCCATGTGGACTTGCTGGAAGTTTTTGACACCAGCGAGAAGAAGTACGTAGTGGCCCATGCAACTGATGCCGCTACACGGTTTCAGGTGGCTGAGATTTTGCCAGACAAGTCAACCAAGTCTGTGGTGCGCTTCCTTTCTACCAGATGGATTGCAACATTTGGCCCTCCGAGAGTGATGGTCGTGGACCAAGGCAGAGAATTTGTGTCTTGGGAAATGGAGGAATATGCTGGAAGCCAATCAATTCTTTTGCACCACATCGCCGTTCAGGCGCCCTGGCAAAATGGAATTGCAGAAAGAAGCGGTGGCGTGTTAAAAGCCTTGCTAGCCGCCATCGTCACTTCTCAAAGTGTCCTTGGACTGGAGGACATGCAGGTAGCCTTGGCCGAGGCTACATCAGCTTACAATGGCGACATCAATGAATTGGGTGCCTCCCCTTTTCAGGCAGCCATTGGACGTCAGCCACGAATGGTTGGTGACGTGTTGGGTGGCATTCAAACCAGGCTTGCGGAGCATGGACTCATAGGCTCCAAGCCTTCGCTGGCTAGACAGTTGGCCATGCGAGAAGTTGCCAAAATAGGAATGACCCGCCTTCACTTCAGCCGAAGTTTGCGGAAGGCAGAGCTAGCACGATCGCGAAACCCAACCATTGAGCAGCTTCCAGAGCCTGGCACAATCTGCTACTTCTACAGGCCTTTGAAGTACAACAACAAGACAGCGCCGTCCAAGAAGAAGCTCACTCTGAAACGTTGGCATGGCCCTGCACTTCTTTTGGCCATTGAAGGCAGAAGCTCTGGATACTTGAGCTACAAGGGGCAATTGACCAAATGCGCCCTGGAGCACATTCGTGCAGCCAGCACGATGGAACAGATAGCTGCAGATTCATGGCGTGAAGCCATCGAAGAAGCTGTTGAGGCTGCCACCTTGGACTTGTCGGCCCGTGGACTTCCTTTGGCCGATGGTGGCGATGGAACTGCTGTTCAACAACCAGCTGCTGTGATGCCAATGCCTGGCACTCCTGCCTTCTTGCCCTCATCTTCAGCAGCTGCAGTTCCAGAACAAGCAATGCCGGTTGGCGATGACTTGCCTCCGGTAGCGCCTCAATAACTTGCTGGTGCCTTGATGCCTGCCTCTGCACCAGGATCGACTGTGCCTTCCAGAAGACTGAGTGAGGCGACGTTTGAACGAGCCACCACAGATGGACTTTCAAGTGGACTCGGCGATGGACTTCGAAAACGAGCCTCAAGCTTTGCAAGCCAGTTGCAGGGCGTCATGGAACAGGCACAACGTCAACGTTTGGCAGATCCTACAGGAACCAAACGAGCTGCAGACACATCACTGGAAAGATTGAAGGCTGAATCCTCTGAGCCTCCTGATCCTCAACCTGATGAACCTCCAGTGATCACAGCAACTTCATCTACTGAGCCTGTTGCAGAAGCATTGCAGACCACGAGAGAAGATGTTTTGTCCAGTTTGGGCGATCCTCCACTACACCCATTGCAACACATCTACAATGCTGCCTGTGAAGACAGACTCAACCCTACTGAAGTGCGTGTGAAAGATCATGGTTCTTGGGATGGCAGATGGCCGTTACCCTCAAGAACGGAATGGCATGTTCACCAACGGCTTGGACTTCCTTGGCCTTGTGGGCATGATGATCTGGTTGAAAATGATGTGATGGCAGTTCAAGCCAATCGCAAAGAATTTCACTGGCGCTCCATGAGTGATGCTGAAAAGGCTGAGTTCAAGATTGCAGCCGAACAAGCTTGGAGTGTTTGGAAGGAGAATGATGCGGTTGAAGAACTATCTCCTGAAGAATCTCAACGAGTGCGTAAGAGACTGAAGAGAGAAGGCCAGCAGGGGAAGATTCTCACCCCCAGATACGTGTTCACCGACAAACACGAAGGCCTTCGCACTGAGCAGAACAAGTTGCCTCTCCGTGCACGAGCGCGCATTGTTGTTCCTGGTTTCAAGGACATCTTTTCATTTGGACTTCGAAAGGATGCTCCTACATGTTCAAGACTGGCCCAACATTTCCTCTTGACCTTGACGGCATGTTTCAATGTAATGGCTGTTGGAGCTGACCTTGCCTGGACTTTGCTTTCAGCCGACATCAAGTCAGCCTTCATGAAAGGAGATGCCTACATGGATGGGACCAGAGAGCTGTTCATGGAGAACATCCGAGGAGCCCTTGATGAGCCTCGCCTGCCTTTTCCTGGACTTGCCAGGATACGCAAAGGAGTTTTTGGTTTGAGTGATGCGCCGAGACGTTGGTATTTGAGGTTGAACAAGTCCCTGATTCAGCAGGGATGGCAAAGAACTACACTGGACTACGCCTGTTGGGTTCTGTGGTCGCCATGTGGAACAAGGTTGGATGGTGTCCTCATCTCACATGTGGATGATTTGCTTTTGGGCGGAAACCGCCGAGCTGTCGCCAAACTTCAAGAGCTTGGACGAGAGTTGGGGTTCGGAAGCACCTCAGAGAAGGACATTACCTATTGTGGTAAGCGCATCCGCCAATGGGATGACGGCCACATCACCATCACCATGGAGGAGTACCACAGCAACCTGAAGACAGTGAACATTCCTGTGCCTCGCAGAGCCAACCCAGACTCAGACTTGACGGAGATGGAACGACGTCAACTTCGTGCAATCCTTGGTTCACTACAATGGCTGGTTGCTCAACTGCGATTTGATTTGGGTTTTCAGCTCAGCACCTTGCAAGGTGAACCGCCGAAGATCAGCACCCTGATGAAGGCGAATCTGCTTGTCAAGCGCTTCAAGCAGGACCCTGACTTTGCCCTGACCTTCAAGCCGATGGATTTGAAGGGAGCTGGAATCATGGTGGTAACCGATGCCAGTTTGGGGAATGTCACCAAAGCTGGCGGAGCTGAAGGAACTGTGTCGGAAAAGGTGTTTAGCCAAAGCGCCTACTACGTCCTCTTAGCCGACAAGGACCTCTTGGCTGGACGAGAAGGAAGCTTCTCAGTGCTGGACGCAAGAAGCCACAGACTTCCTCGAGTATGCCGCTCTACATACGGAGCAGAGCTGCTGGGAGCAGAAGAAGCATTTGATGTTGGATGTTTCTGCCGTGGCTGGTGGGCGATGTTGCAAGGCCTTCCCATCGAACACAAACGTGCTGAAGAAGTCATGGACTGCATTCCTTTGGCAGTCATCACAGATGCACGCGATGTCTACGACAAAGGGTCTTCAGACACACCTTCGTACGGATCTCAAAAATCCCTGGCGTTCACAGTGGCCTGGATTCGTGGAGTCCTTAGCAAACCCAACACCATGCTCAAGTGGACATCGACGGAGAACCTCTTCGTGGATTGCGGGACGAAAGACATGAGCGCTGAGCATGTGCATAAGATTCTTAGCAGCTGCCGATGGAGCGTGACCTTCAACCAAGAGTTTGTCAAGCAGAAGCAGAAGACGAAGCCGAAGAAGCTCGCTGGTGGAAGCTGTGAGAGTCTGCTGGTAGGTAGTGCTTTGGGTGAAAACTCACCTATTTACCCATACCTAGCTCAGCTTAGTGCAAGCCCTGGATGGCACCAACGCGAAGGTGTCCTGATCAATGTGGCACGCCATGCAAAGTCTTTCAGAACTCCAGGAGCCCGTGTGGATCCAAAGAAATTTCCTTTGAGAACCACGTATGACGTATGCCAGAATTGACCATCCAGACGGGAAGTCAGACTGGAGAGTTTTGGAAGAAGGTACAGAATATGGCATTTTGCCAAATCCCCATGCGCTTTTGGGCACCATAGCTGGCATTTTGGTGACGGTGTATCGTTCACAAGCTACAAATAAAATAGAATCAACTGAAGAATCATGCACTTAGCTTGGAACGACTGGCATGAACCACTTGCCAATACACCTGACTCCATGTTGCCGCTGCCATTTACTTTCAATGTATCTGACGTAGGCCTAAAGCCATATGCTGCTACGCCTGCACCGGAAACAGCTGCTGCCGCTAGCTTTTGCAGCTGGATTTGTCAAAGATAAAGTGCTTCTCGGGCGCAGCTATCATCTTGCATTGATCGTTCATAATGTTTCATAATATAGTATATAATTATTAATAATAATTATATACTATCCCTATATTCAAATCATGCCAAGTTGGTTTATATCCGCTAGTCTAACTGGATATATCATGATATATCATGATATAATATATCTCTTGCTGCAAGTGTTTTTTCATAGTTATGCTATGCTGTTCCTAATGACCACCCGCTCCATACGTCAGTTTATGTCTGAGTCTGGAACTTTGAAACCAACAATTGATCAAGTGGTAAGACGAGTACAGTAGGCCAAGATGGCTACCGATAGTCAGGAACTCAACTCTTCAACTTGTTGGAGATTGCGGCGCGGTAACCCACATGAAACGTTGGGTGATTCAACTCTTGTGTCCACGCACCGCCCCGCATATGAGTCAGATCAGTCAGTGCGCTAGAGCGGGTGACGCCAATGCTAGTTGAGAAGGGAACTGCCTAGTCTTGGAACGCAATAGCCGGTTCAGTTTGGGATCGGATACATTAGATGCACACGTCCAACCCCACACCCAGGGTCCTTTTTCAAATTTTTTTGAACCGTGTCCAGAGTTGTAATTATTCCACTTCGAAAGAACGGATGTTGTGTGGTTAGTAATATGTGCAAACAAGCTCGTGGTAGCTAGTCCTACAAGGCCTCTTTGGTGACTTTGAACCAATCGGGCAAAAACGATCTGTCGAAGTAAATGGTCTCGTAGCCAAAGTGCACAACTTCAAATTTCCGCGGTGAGAATTTGGTTTGGATGTTGTAAATTTCAGTCCCCTCCCGCGCATACATGAATGGAAGATACAGAGGGCAACAGCATTTTGGCCAAGGAAAACCGTGTACCTGTACGTCACTTGTTTCCATTGGAGCCTCACTCAGTTCGTCCCTAGCTAAGCTGCAGCCTGCTTACACTGATCTTAAAGTCTTACAATATGGTGAAATCTTAGTGTGGTTTGAGGCGAGCTCCACGGATGTTTTTCCAGCCAATGTGCTGGGGTCCAAGCATGGCAAGACATCACGCAAGAGGGCTTGACATGGGGTACATAACCTCTGTGGAAGTGACATCATGCAACTTTGACAGTGGAATTCACCAGGTATGAACGAACCTTTGCGGTTTGCTCGCTGGTGTTTTGCTTCATTTTCTCTGCGTGGAGAACTTAACGCTGAGAGCTGTGGATTTCTTGGTGGTTGCTGTCTTGAGACAATGATTGTGTGCCCACCACCTTCGCAAACATCCCAGGAGAGAGATCTATTGATTTTTAAAGTCAAAGTGACTGGATTTCGACAAAATCGTTCACACAGCCGAGACAGCCGAGGTCAATTGTCAGTAGCATCACAACCTCCATGACACGGCTATCAATAGCCAGATCCAAGGAGCTGCCGCGACGATATTTCATCGGTTTGAAACTTTGGCATTTTCTTCGACCTCAAACTTATCACGGCATATTTGGGGCCCACAAATCACTGGGACCCAAACAATGATCAAGTTATATCAGGAGACTACAAAGTTGGCTGCTCTGAAGGACTTGCAAATGTGGTGAACCTGTTGTGCATTTGCCCCACATCATATTGTTGCATGCTTTTGCACCCTTCATGCTTGCTTTGCTTCACACAACACATGGTGTCAGGAATACTTGAGAGAGCATCACATTACGAGCCGCAACTTGGTCGCACAGAACAAAATAATATGGGTCTGTCGCTTTGTCGCAATATGGGGTAATATGGGGTATATCGCGGCACCGCGCTTTACCGTATACCACTATGATATGGCCACATGGCCATTGCTGGGACACCAAGGTACTGCATTAAGGGTCTGCATCCCAGCTGCGCCATACATTTCAGTCGCACAGTCCCAAGGGCTTTGGTCGTTTGGGATTTCTTAGGTGCAACGCAACGCTCAGTATGCATTGCAGGAGCAAAAGAGGCATGGTTCAGATTAGGTGACGCAGCTAGGGGCGCTTTACCAACTCACAATTGTTTTGGGGAGACTGTTGCATACTATTGACATTTGCGCAATTTCTTTTTCTAAGATACCAACAGGGACTGCTAATCTATAAACTTTCTTTGACCGACAAGCATTTTTGTCATTTTTTCATGGAGAAGTTTGCAGAAAGTTAAATTGGCATGTTGAACTGTGGCAAAGGCACACACCTGAAGAAGATATTGAGCTTTTGACCTTCCTGTCAGAGCCGTTGTGGGTCTCGGTCTTATCACAGCAAGTTGAACTACGTCTGTACAGCAAGTGCAGCCTGGTGCTCGTCCAAGGTTGAGCTCCGCTACGAAATTTCTATGCCAGCATTGAGGAGATTCGACAAATGCGCCTTACCAGTTCGACCACTTCAACCACCTTGAACCTGCCAGGAAGAGCGGCTTCTTCCAGATTCTTGAGCAGGCTCAAGCTTTAGATGTTTGATGATGTGTGTTACATTCGTACATATAATTGATGATTGTTGCAATTGTCATATTGTTGGGTTCGTTGGGACACACAACACTTCCATCAGATATTTGAAGCTTGCTTCAGTGTTTCATTGGCAAGCGTGCTAGACGCACGTGGACTTGGACGACGCAGACTCTCAAAATCTTGGCCCTTTTAATTTTGGCGCTGTTAAATGAATGTGGGGATGTGCAAGGAGAGCCCTGCTTTTACGAGGCGGCTCTGTTACAAGGTCCGGGAGAATTGGCAGCATTGTACAATGACTTGAATCATGTTCATCCATTTTCATGATATTTTTATTATTTGATATGTGTTTTATCAATCTGCTCTTGTTGTTCAGGTAGATTGTAGTAACTACAGTAGCCTGTACTTCTTTTGTTTTGCTTTGTACAGATGCAAGTTGATTCGCATGCTGTATGAGTTTTGTTTCCTAGCTGGCTAGTAGCACATACGGCCAACATCTCAGGGACATCAGGGACTCAGGGACGCTGCTAGGCCCTGGAGAACACGATGCTTTCCAAAGCAGACATCCTTTTCGTGCAGGGTGTTTGGATCCCGGTATTATGTTTAATGGACAGTTTCCAGTTTCCAGATGCTTTGCCAGCTTCACCATGGCGTAAATTGTGGGATTGAGATGCATGCTGCATGAGGGCTGACATTGCTTTGTAATCCTACTTGGTAATATTAACATAATATCCACGAAGGCACAGCACGTGAGCGAAATGTTCTTCTTCACAGACGGGCATCTCGGTTGCAGCTGGTGTCCTGCAAATCCTCATGGACTGATCACGAATGTACACCGTGTACACTTCCTCGCCCAGGAAGCTCATCTACTTCAGAGACAGCGAAGTGGGACTCAACAGGAAGGTTCGATCCTCTTTACACAGCAACCATTATTTTTGACGATAGTGTTCGAACTGTTTTAATATCCTTCATTTGCGTTCTTTTGACCCTAGATAGAGTACAAGTATCTACAAGTAAGAAATTGCATCTAGCACGCGCGCTTCTATACATCTTATCTACCTACTTGATCTTCTCGTGCATATTGCTAATCATATTTTAATCTCAAAACGTGTGACAGACCTTCAGAAGAATGCTTGCTGTCGAGGCCAGTAGTCAGAGACAGAATATCATGCGCAAGAAGGAGAAAGTATCGATTGGTTGGCAGCCCACCAGCCGAGACTGTGACAGAGTTTGAGACATCAACTTTCCACCTAGACAGATGGGCGTGTCCAAAAATGGTGCATACCATGGGATAGCTGGTATACCTCAGAACTGCCAACTTCAGGGGAAGAATATGGGAATATGGGAAATGATTGCCCCGCCCCCTCCAAGGTCTGGGTGATTTTGCCTGCGAAGCTGCATTGTGGACGGTCGGAGTCTCAAGCCCATCAGAGGCATGTCATTGAAACAGCTGTTACCATGGGATGATCTGGGTCAGAATTACTAGACCTATCCAGTTGGATGGTTTCAGATCCTGAAAGCAATCTTGGGTTTGTTGGTACCAGCATCCCCATGAAAATCTAGACAATGAGACCGAGGATTGGTCGCATTGTGGCACCATGCGCGCAAAGACCCAGTGCTGGGCCTAGGGTGCCAGGTTGTGCTATAAGCCACAGATGGATTCCACCAGTCCTGCCCACAGTCACTCAAGCCTCCACGGAAGTTGCTAGATTCCGATGTTCTTTTCGTTGGTCTCAGCTTGTCCGACCTGCTCTGCAAAAGGGACCTTGCGCAGAATCGGCCTTTGTTCCTCAATTGAACAGACCCATGCCCCCTTACTGTATCTTCCCTTCATTCACTTTGAGTCGCACGGTACCAATTCCCCCTGCAACTTTTGGTGCGGTTTGTTTGCTAATCACTCAGACAACTCCCCAAGGATTTGAACAAAAAACAGACATGAACAGACCAGATCACATTGCTCTAGGTGCACTGTCCTCAAGCTCAACGCGGAAGAATTTCACACCACCTCAAGCCAGTTCAAGGCTGGGAGTGCACGAGCGTGGCATCGATGTCCATCTCAGGCGGCAAGTCCAAATTGTTGCTGTCCAGGCTGTCCATATTATTCGTCCGATATCCTGGTGCCAGGAAACCGTTCAGGCTTTGAAGAACTATGGCAGGCTAGCATCAATTTCTGCTGCACACGCCGAAAGTGCAGCTAGGAATTCCTTGTGGGCCTGTGGCGCGGTGAAGCCACAGATTGAGCTTGTTTGGCTCGGGGCAAAAGTGAAACACACCAATTGTATGATCATGCAAAAGGTAGGCAGCGGCAATAGCATTTGCATGATCGTGTGGGGGTGGAAGTGTCACTGTATCCAACCACCGCTTCAGGCGCTTTGTGAAGCATTTGAACAGCAAAGATCGTCTGGAGCGCCTTCAACTTTGGCACCTTTCAAGTGCTCTGTGTGTGTAGGTATTCAAGATTACTCTCCAATACCTACTTTGCAGCTTCTTCATTCTATTCTTGCTAGCATATTCTCGTTTCATCTCGTTTCAAATGATTGCAGTGTTGGCTCTACAATCCGGCAAAATCGTATTCCTGGCATATCTATTGCCCTTGCTCCAGGAGTTGACGGACTTGGTGGATGTAGAGTGGGATAGTAGCTGCTTGGCACATGAACTTTGTGAAATTTGAGATCGGAGACATGAGCAAGATAGATCTCAATGTCATTCAATGTCACAGTTTTCACAAGTCTGCTTGACTCAATAGAAGCCCTCAGATCGCCAAGTCATCATCATTTTCATATGTGCTTAAGTGAAGCAGCTTTGACGTAAACTGAACTCGTCTTGTGCTAGCTGCTAGCTGCTAGGTGAAGTGGCCAGAGAGAGTTTCACAACCGCTGCTGAGCAGGCGTTGGGACAGACACCGGTTCTTTCTGATTTCCCTCGTGGACTAGGTCGCTAAGTGTTGTATAGTCCTTGAGACCAGAAATTCTTGGAACGGCCTTCGGATTTTTGCCCGGTGCCTGATACAAGGTCGATACAAGGTTGAGCAGGTCAGCCTGTTCTGAAACCAACGTGTTGGACAAATTGGTGGCAAACTAGCACGGCTCTGACTTGCAGGAGAACGGTGGCAGAACAGGGACTGCACTCAAACGCGGAGCAAGCATCAACAACTTCTTCCGTGTTTGTCTCAGTTATCAGCAGAATTTTCCCGAGAAACATTGCCGGCTTAGATTTGCATTCGGCATTCTTGCATGTCAGGGTCCAACCTAAGCGGTTGACTGCAATAGCTGAAGCTGCAGAAGTCGGCATGGACCGAGCTGGCAGCACTTTTCAAGTTTTCAAGGGCGGGAAGGGATTCGTTGAGATGTGAGGTGCTGACGAGCGGCCAAGCTGGCTGAACAGTCGGGTTCACAGTATGTCTTCAATTTTCTTCATACCCAAGACAGGGTAGTTGGGTGTGCCCATCTCATAGTATAAGTACAGGTTGCTTGGCACTGGACACTGCACAGTTTTTCCGAGGCTTTTTAGGACGTACTGCAGCCACGCGAGCCAAAGTGAGGCCATGCCATGTTACAAGGTTGCAATTGTTCATTTCAAGCGCTTGCGTGCACTGTGTGTTGTCTTCACTGCCTAGCTGCGGACGTACAACAGTGACTTGCCTCCTTTCCACCTGCATTCTTCCCTCCCTTGCACAGAAACCAAGAGGATTGAAACATTTAAGTATCCCAAAGCTAGTACAGTAAGCTAGCCTTTTGCTCAACGCAGCACGACCTTCAACAAATCGCACTCTGTTGTTTTTGGGCTTTGGAGAGGCTTCCAGCCCCTCCAGAGCAAATCAGAGCAAAGGGTAAACTGTGCTGCACGGTGTTCCCTGATCTGAGTTCAATCATCCGATGAGTTGCTCTTTGTCAGGCCTTCGGTGGCAGCGTCATCCCCTGTCGTTCCGACAGGTGAATCGGAGGACCGTTGAATTGGACATATTGAGATGGACCCATGATGGGGAGCCGTGGTGAGGCTGCATGATGGAGCTTGTCATACTGCAACATAGATGGGGCCTGAAATGATGGTTTACCATGGTTTACCCGCCTCAAATGGTGTCTATCATCAAGCCTAGCACCGTATCATTCTCTCCATGCATTGGATCAGCCTGGCCCCCGGCAATGGCCCAGGGCAACTGGCACTGGTTTTTGAAAGAATCTTCCAGCTCCCAGACCTAGAGTTAGCTAAATGAGTGGTGACAATCCCCTGCTAGAGGGTTACTTTCCTTGACGCCATGACATTTATCGCAGACCTTTGGCGGCTAAAAGCCTAGACTGACTCGTGTTCTGTGTTTTTTGCCTGGAGTCTCTTGGTTCGGAGCTTGTACTCTGATCTTCATGGCCGTTCCTCCACTGGTTGAATTTTTGGTGGGACATGGAATGGCCGCTTGTCAAGTCTGACACATTGACTTCGGTAATCAAGCTGGTCTCCAAGGGATCTGCTTGATGCCGAAAGGGCGGACATAGCATTGCCATAAGTGTGTTTGAGATATTTGAATACATTACTTTAGAACACATTTGAGAATATTTGAGACATAATCTGGCAGTACTTCTCTCATTTTCAAGAGGTCATCAGTGAGAGCGACCGGAAGTCGTTGTAAGCTTTGACAAACGGCAGGCGGTTTGTGCATGTTTTGTTTTTGTCCGATCCCTTAGAATGTCTTTCTCTCCGCTTTGCCTCTCCTTCCTCTCTGCCCAAGTGTAGATGAGACATGAGAGCGGGTGAGACGTGATGGACACGATGAGACTGTATATATTTTTCAACTTACGCTCAACTTGTCCCTCGCAAGTTGAAACAACGAACACATTCTTTTTCGATTCAGCTGCTGCTGATGAGACACCCTGGGTCGCGCTTGACCAGACTGCGGCAAGATCCGCCTTTAAAAGATGTGTGACCAACGGCTGGTCTATGCTGGTGTTGGTCCGAAGGTGGCCAACGTATACGGCTTTTGTATTTAATTTTGGGCTGCGCAACAAGGCACCACTCTAGAAATAGTATATTGTAGTCTATTGGGCTACACATGGTTATTTTATTTTAATTATTGGAATCTGGAGGTTCTTGTTCACAATGTGCATCTAGATCCAGCAGAGGCAAGAGTTCTTTTGCTGCCACGTTTGCGTCAAAGCTTGCGTTTATGGGGCAAGTGCAGGCAGGTCTGCACAGCCATGACATGAGTTTGGCCACATTTGCATCTGCCTTTTCTGCTTTTTGGCCTACAGCTCTGCATTTAGGCAGCTTTGGGTTGAATTGCTTAACTCAGAGTAAGGCAAAGCGAGACTGAACAAAGCAGGAAGAACGAAGAAGAATCTGTACTGTACAGTGTACATTGCAGCAGGAGGGGTGTTCATACTGCACTGAAACGCATATCACCAAGAGGTGTTTAACTAGTAAGCATTGAAACAGGGTGGACCTAACATCAGCCAGAAGACTCGTTGCCTCCGGCCTTGTCATCCATTCGTCCATGATCCCAGCTTATGCTTATCATATAGACTCTGGGTTGAATATTGTCACGAGCCAATCCTGTAATTAGACAGCCAATGAGCTTCAAAATGACTGAGTCGATCCCCAAGACAATAGGCTTCTCACGGATTCTCATGGTCTGCTAATGCGGAAATCGGTCCAGTGAAATGGTTGAGCTTTGCTTTACAAGGTTGCGAAACAAAAGTGAACAAACAATACAAAAACTAACTGCAGGCAACTTTGAACCCAAGAAATGCATGCTTCGAACGACAAGTGGAGACAAGCGACCAGACCTTTCCAATCCTTTCAGAAACCAGGCTTACACGATCTTGGTAGCCTGGTGATTGCACAACAAGATCATATTGATTCATATTGATTCATATTGACCACATTTTACCAAGGTATACCAAATGCAGCGTACGTCCTTCGATGTGAATTCCATTGCGGTTGGGAACTTACCGACGCAGCATCCTGCAGCATCCGGTTGCGAAGCATAGCAGTCTGACGCTGGAGGCCCTGCTGCGGCAAACCGAGGCACCGGTTGTCCCAAAAATGCGGCTGGATGTGCCGACATATTCTCCAAGATCTCCAAGCAAATATGCCAAGATAACCCAAGAAGGGATTGTCATTCTGAATGGTTCATGTTAAATCATGTTAATATATTACTCCCTTATTACTCCCTTATGATCTGAGACTCACAAGGCCAACTTGGCAGCATTGAAGCCGCGGCAGGAAGCGCAGAGGCGTCATCGTGTAGATCCGATGAATAGCCTTGTCATCGTCCATACATCAGTAGGGGAAACTGCAGAAACCCATGGTTGGATATGGTTGAGAACCAGCTCGAGATGCCCGACCTTGAAACTGACCTACACACATCAGTTGACAGGTATTCAGGAGAACCCATCTTCTCCTCAACACTGCCGTACACGTCCTCCGCACCGGCAAAAGACTCGGTTGAATTGTCGAGTCCAGCAATTGTGAAACCGGATGTATTATTATTAATTATTAATTATTATTATTAATATGTTATTTGACTATTGATATGTCAATGTATTATGCACATTTATCAATATTTATCTAAAATTATCCGATTTATCCAGATTTATCCGTACGCAGTTCTAGCACCGGTATTGGAACATATTGGAACCCCGGTTTGCGACCGAGGTGCGAAGCCAGCTGGGCTCTGGAGTTGAACTTGAAACTCAGGTAGTCCAGTTGCGAACCTGCATCGAGACCTTAGAGAGACGCTTGGAGGCGCGGAACCATGCGGAATCTGTCACTTGTGACATGTCACGTTTGATCTTTGTTTCCAGCAGAGACAAAATGAGACAAATTCAATCAATTTCAGACATAAAGTCTCATTTTTTTTGCAGATCAGCGTAGGAAGAACTCCGATCTTTTCTGGCGATCTCGGATAAGCGTTTGCAGGTGCCTGTGTGTGTGCATGGATTTGTACGCTTTCTCTCGCATCCACAAGCATAAAGGGTTTGCAGGCTGTTTCTGCAGGTCTTTCTCAAAGTGCATTGTAGAGTGGGGAATTGTGGGGATAGAGCGCGGTATAGCCAACTTAAATATGATATCTATCATATGAAACCCAGCTGAGGCTCGAGAGGAGCAGCTGAGAGGAATCGGCGAGACGCTGCAGGCGTCTGCAGATGCCGCCATGGAGCAGCTGAATCGACGGGTCATGGTCTCAGGTGGTTGAAAGATGATCATATTAATGTGGGAGGTTGGTAAATGTCCTGCGTTTTTGGGAGTTGGAACACCTCAAACAAAAAGGACAGGTTGACCCCCCTTAAATAAATTTGCTGTTGATTGATGCGTGCTTTTGAGGATTTTAAACGTCTGAATGAATGGTAAAGTAGATGGAGATGATTCAAGCAATGGGTTAATATGATGACATGATGTGACAGTTTTGGCGTCACGCCTTATGTATAACTCAAACCGTTAGACAGAATTGAGGTTGACACAAGATTGCACGACCTGGAACGTGCAGGAAGCTTAAGGACAAAGAGGACAGGACCTTCACTGCAAGCATTTTGCAGTCAGACTGATGGCAACAGTTTTGTTGACCTTGTGATCTCGAAGATAAGGCCGGACTCGCCCCATCTGCACTAGACGAGGTGCTGGAAATGTGCATCGTAGTGTTGCCCACGGACATCATGCATTATATCATTATATGTCATGCGCCCTGTCCGATGTCCAGATTTGGGAAGCCTTGAAGCGTCTTGAAGGCGACTGCCACTTGCTCAGCTTCGGCCCAAAAATCATCATCAACTTGTCAGCGTCAGCATTGATTTGGAGATGGCATGCCAGACCCTTCTGATTGGACTGGCAGAGTACTCACGTAAGGTACCTGTACTATTCACAAGGACTATAACTATAACATACTATAACATACTGTAACATACTATAACATACTATAACAACCCCCGTTCGAATTTCAACTACAGAATGGGAGGCCTTGTGCCCCGTTTCAAGGGCATTTCCGGGCTTAAATTAAGATGAAGAAATAAGGATGGGCCAGGCATTTTGTACCCACAGCTTGGGAATTGCATTTTATAAGTTTTCAACGTTTCGGTAGTTGAAAGACCTTTAAAAATCGAAAGTCATTTTGTAGCAAGAGAATTTGCCCATCGGAAGACAACATGTAAAAACCCAATCTCATTTTGTAGCATGGGAAGTTGCCCTTCGGAAGGCAACATGTGAAAACCCAATCTGATTTTGTAGCAAAGCTGATGATAAAAACATGTAAAAACCAATCTTCATTTTGTAGTGGTGGAGTGTCCCCTTCAAGTAACTTGATGATAAAAACCAATGTTCATTTTGTAGTGGTGGAATTTCCCCTTCAAGTAACCTCATGATAAAAACCAATCTTCATTTTGTAGCAGTATCACGTTGTCATTTTCCGTAATCCTTTGGAGGTTGAGAACCATCATTTTATAATGGCTGAGGTTAGGAACTTTGAGACTTTGGTACAAAATGAAGGTCTCGACCCCATAGGTGAAATTCAAACCGGGATCTATAACATACTATAACATACTATAACTATGGAATGATTACATGATGAAAATCATTGCCATTCTTATGACGATTTGAGTGTGTTCCTGCTACATTGGTTTGGAGAGTTATGGCTCAGGGTTGAAGCTTAAGACACAAAGGAACCATATGCCGCCGTCCAGACAGCTCGGTCCTGAGGCCAAGATCTCGACGGCAAGCTGCGGCGCGCTGCCTCAGCAGATGATTTGGCAGATCGCTTCAAAGAGGCTCTGATATTATAACTGGGGGAAACGAAGGATTGCTGTGTGTTTGTATGTTGTGTATATGTATTTGTATAAGGATACATTCGGGTACATGACATAATATGATATAGAATTACAATATATTAACAAACATGTGAGAGCATATCATTGAATACTATCAACCTATATCACATATATGAGATCCCAAGGACAGTGTAGCTTGGTGATACGAAGTGTATGCAAGGGACCACTGTGCATGGATATGGGAAAAGACACAACAGAGTGCTTGAAGATGTGAACATGTAGACCAATTTGCAGATGCTGATTGGAGGAGACTGTCTAAGGGTTGGGTGGAACGAGAATGTTTGAACTTTTGTGCGGGAGAGCATTTGGTGAACAACCCGTGGCCGAGCCTCTCCAAGTTGATGGTACTTGGATGACATGATGACATGCGCATTATTCTGCATTCACTGTGGGGTTCTGCAGCTCGGCGGAAGGTGGAACGGGCTCAAGTGCAGCGCTTTGACGAGCGTTTGGCAACCCAGGCCTGGTTTTCTCTTGGAAAATCTATGAATGCAAGTCCCGTACTCTTCACTCATCTTCATTCCAAGCGAATGACTTCAAGTCACAAAAGATTCGCAAACGAGTTGGGTCGCTGAAAGTGTTCGCATGTGGGAACCCTGGGCCAACGATGCCAATTGTCCTTGTGTGTCCGAACCTGTCAAAATATGTCAACGACTCCCACAGCGCCAAACGAGAGGAGAAGCGAATGAGCGATATGCGACTCCAGCTTCAAACCGCTAATGAGGAATTCTTGCAGGACCGATGCGGTTTGATGCTTGTGAAGAGCGCGAAGTGTCAGGAAACCTTTAGTGGTGAAGGTAACAGCGTCCTATCAACGAATGCATGTATAAAACGATCGCAAACATGGCCAAGTCTGGCAGGCGATAAACCGCCGTTGCGAGGTGTCACTCGCTCAGTATCCCTAAACGGTTCGGTTGCTCCAGATCAGGGAAGTTTTGGTCAATATGTGTGTTGTAGACGTGTTGTGATGTTTGCGGACCATGTACGACAATGTATGATGAAGTTTGGCAATGTAAAGATGCTGATGCTGAGGCTAGAGAAAATCGTTTGGGAAGGTCAAACTGCGGCAGCCCCAGAATGCTGTTGATGTCTGAAGGTGCACAGGTTGATTTGCCCGAGATGACAACGAATCTCAGGACAAAGGAGACATTGAGACAGTCTTCAAACGACTGGCAGAGGCCAATAGCCAAAAGCTTTCAGCAATTTGAACTGATTGAATGGGTTTAGTCTTTCAAAAGATCACATGATCTGGGTGATTTTCACACATTTTGACAAGTTTTAGGCTGCACCCATTCGTGAGATGCAAGAAGAGCGACCTGGCTTGAAACGGATGGTAGAAATTCCGGGAACCGGCGGAAACCTTTTGACCAAAGTTTGGTTGAGGTGTCCAGTGTGGAAGATGAAGCATATATGACTCAAGACACAGAGCGTGAGCGAGATTTGACGAAAAAGTTTGGTGGATCAGATCATCAGAGTACAGTATTCAGATGTATTCAATTGTATTCAGGATCAATGCATGCAACTACGAAAAGGAGGACAGCCCGCTGTTGTCCAATCACATTGACAAATTGAGATTTGAGATACACTTCGGCCAATGTGTCTACTTAACAGACTATCTACAAAAACAATCGAAAACAAGTCAGTGAGTCAGTGACCTTTTCTGCAATATCCTGCTGTATCTTCATTCGATGTTTCAATACCATTGGATACCATTGGATACCATTGGATACCATTGGATACCATTGGATACCATTGGATACCATTGGATACCCATTGGATAGCCATGGATAGCCATGGAGATCATGGAGATGCCTTGGACCCCCTGAGACCCTTCCAGGTGCAACGAACTCGCCTGACTACCTTGGAGGCGAAGCTGTCGAAGCAAGCGGCCTTGGAATCCAAGGTGCTCTGCGATTTGGCGGAAGAATTGTCATGGCAAGTGATTTTTGAACAGGCTACCTGAGTTCAGTACAGTTTCATGTCATCATACGGATCATACGAACTCTTTCTCCCAGCTCTCTGTCTCCAGATATGTTTGATCATGTTTGATCTAATCATGGGCCTTTCTTCTTGGTGGTTTAGCATTTTATCGGATGAACTTTCAATGTTGGTATCGCACTCGATAGGTCGACTTCATGGAATCTCAGACATCGCAGCAGCTTGAAGAGCAGGTGCACCACAATTCCGTCATTTCATCATTTCATGATATTTCATGAATCTTCGATCCCCCTCATTGACGTCAACGTGGGCTTTGAAACTGAAACGGCACATGACTTGACAGGCGTGCATTCCCAAACCAAATCTCTCGAGCAAATAGTTTGACGTCGACAATTCATTCTGAGTTTTGCCGTTGCGACTCCAAGCGATTAGCGGAGGCTCAGAAGTTCCGGCACGTCAGTGAGTTGCAGCACAAGCTGTCCCAAAAGTTGGCGTCTACAGAGGCCAGGTCGGCAAATGTTTGACATACAAACAAATGGCAAGATATTGATGTTGAAGACTGTTGAATACATAAATCTCTTAACTAATATGTCCCTATAATATATGTAAATATAGAATTTAAGCTTAATTATTATACATATATGATATTAATACGTGTATATATATATATATATTATAACATAATTATAAAATATATAAATCTATAACCATCTACTGTATATAATATTATATGATGATAATATGTGTACACAGTATCTGCTGAACAATGTTGAACACACGTTGCTTTCCCGCACTCTCTGGACTGCCTGAAGCAATGCCTTGCAAAGGCCGCCTCCCAGCGCGTGGAGGCGCAAGGAGCTTCACTGCAAGCGAAGTTGCAGTCGCAGCTGGACGAGGTGAGTGAAATCACCTGTGGTGTGATGATTCTGATGATTTTCATGGGAATGTTATGATAGATTTAAACATATTTAACAATATATATTAAAATTCTTATGACTATTTAAGCATCAGTCATAGGGTTCTGGCTCTTATATGGTTTGATTGGGTTTTAACATGTTCGCCCCAACCCGGACGTTGCTCCACACTTTCGATCGTCATGATCGTCATGATCATCATAATCATCATCATCATCATCATCACATCATGATCATCATCACATTAAAATTCGCCACCCGCTCTGAACAATATGTTGACTGGGGTAATAACATCAACTTTATCTTCATGAGGGGTCAACATTTTCCACCCCCTTTGAACAATATGTTGATGGGGGGAATCGCATCAACTATATCTCCATGAGGGATCAAAATTCGCCACCCCTATCTTCAGAAGGGATCAAAACTCGCCACTCCCTATGAACAATATGTTGATTGGAGTAATAGCATCAACTTTATCGATCTTCATATCCACCTGAAGTCAGACGCGGCGCAACGTCAGGGTTGCAGCGAACATGTTGTGACCATCACATTGATAGAACATTACAGATGATGGATGGTATACCGGCATTACCAGAATACACGAATCAACTGGGAATCCCCGGTGACCAAGCCCTATTAGATTTGGTGAAGGAGACTTTGTCTCTTCAGCTGCGCAATGTTGCCAAAACTTTTTTGACAGTGAGCTAGATGTAGTGCACATACAACATCTCCACTCTCAGCCAGGGGTCTCCATAGCTGTCAACGCAAGAGACATTATTCAATTTCCGGAAGATGGTACACGAAAGATTATGATGGTCCAAATCCATCGAAATCCCTCAGTTTTCTTTTCAAGTTGTGTTCAACGAAAGCGTTCCGTTTTTTTGTAGGAGAGGGAGCGGATGCATAGCAGCTTCGATGCCTTGCAGCAGCGGGTCACCAAGCAGCTGGAGGAGGCCTGGCCCCAGGATGCAGGATGGCGTGATAACCGCATGATAACCACTATAGACTGATTATGGAATATATACAATATACATGTCCTGTATGTATATATGGTGATCGATCTAAAGGTCCTTGTAAGGAGTTTTAATTGCGAAAGCCGTGCATGTTATGTTGGAACCCTCGCGAAAGTTTTTTTGTCGAGTTCGCGAAAGTAAAATTTTATTTCGCGAAAGTTTCGCGAAAGTTGGGCATTATAATCATTATATATAAATATATATATATGTAAAGGGCTGCCATCCACTGCCGCCCGGGGTCCGGCAGGAGAAGGGCACCAGAGAATGCGAGTAGCAGTAGCCAAGTTTCCAAAAGTGAGGCTTTGCGAGAGCCAAACACCAAGGCCCCTGGTCTTCGCTTTTCCTTCAGTGCACCCCCTGCTGATGGCCGGGGTCTGTGAATAGGGATATTTTTTCGCGAAAGTTCCGCGAAAGTTATGCGAAAGAGCGGGCGGAAGTCAAAGTGCATGTTGAAGGGGGTGGGCCAGTAAACTTTGCAAAAAAAAATCTGTCCTGAGAAGGGATTCCGTGATGCTAGCTGCATGTTTAAAAGGCTACCAAGAAGTGATCCGTGATTCTCTGGCCTAATTTGGCAGGTGGTGAACGAATCTTCATAAGAGGTGTTGTTGGCCAACATGGGCCCCGCGAAAGATAAACGTGGAGTTCGCGAAAGTTTCGCGAAAGTAAAATTTTTATTCGCGAAGAATGGCCGTTCCGGGATAAAGGAATTTTGATCAACAACCATATGTGTATATGCATATGCATCTTGCAAATGTATGTGTATTTGTATTTGAATTTGCAGATGTATATAATGTATATGTAAAACATGTACAGTACCTGTACACGTACATGTATGTGTATGTGTATCTGTATCTGTAAATGCAACTGTATGTATATGTATACGGTATACGTATATGTTTGTAGATGGACAGATTGGATTAGACTGGATTAGACTGGATTATTGTCTGCAAATTGGACTGGATTAGACTAGATGAGATGACATGAGATGAGAGTAGAGTACAATAGAATTTAAGATAGAACAGAGTAGGTAGAGATGGATGGATAGAAAGAAAGGTAGAAAGATAGAAAGCTAAAAACAAATACATACGATTCGGAAGACGATGGACCAAACACCTGGTTGTGGTTGAATGATGTTGAATGTGTGAGCCTTTCAGCTGGGCGAAACGCTGCCAGGTTGAGGGCCGTGCATCCCGAGGATCTAAGCGTTAAAGCACTCAGCCGACTCAGCCGTGGTTAAAGGTTTGAACGTTGGCGACCAGATTTCAGCTGAAAAGGACCCTCCATTTGATTTTCTACACTGCTACACTGCATAAGATTTCTGGTGTGTTCAGGTTCTGAGCAAGACCTCGTTGAACACGTGAACGCTCCACACTTAGCTCAAAGATGTTCAGCAACTTCTGAACGCTTGGCCAGAATCATCTAAATTTATAGGGTTTCAGAATGCCCCCTACAACTACACAATGTCTATATCAGTTCATACCATGCCATGCACAAGCCTCATCAAGTCTCCTGGTGACTGGAGAGCCCATGTCCTGTCCAATTTAGCCAAAGCGACCCAGGCCCTGACCCAGAAACTCATGGAGGAGAGCATAGCTGCACAGAAGCAGGCGAGGGAGATCGAGGGAGCATAGCTGAGATACCCGCTTTATCCGCTTTGAACTGATTTTGCAAAGACGTCAGTGCATTCAGTGAAACTCAAGGCTGAGAAGCGGCTGCACACTGTGGATGAGCGAAGCGACCAGGTGATACAGGTGCACCATGGTGCACCAACATTCTCAGAAGCAGTTGCTATGTGGAAAACCAGGGAGGACTTCCATGCGATGGCACGTTGGGAGCTGGCAGAAAGTTTGACTGACGGTTGCACGGTTGCACGGTTGCACGGTTGCACGGTTGCACGGTTGCACGGTTGCAGGCTGCCCGAAGCCAGATGGAAAAGGCCATCCAGGTGCCTCGTGGAGTGTGCCCTTTTGTCCCATTTGCCCTTCATCCTATTCATCCTATTCATCCTGTTCATCCTGTTCATGTCTCCCCATTTTTCCCATGTCTCCCCAAGGTCCCTGATGTTAGACAATGATGACAATGCTCCAAGGACTTGAAGATGGATGCTGAAGTGGCCAAGAACGCTGGCGACTCAGTTGGTGCATCAGCTGTTTGGGTCTCAGCTGAGACTCCAAGGCCATGGATGCGGATCTGCAGCGGATGGACCGCTTCGTCCAAGAAATTGGATCCAAGATGTCCACGCAGGAGCGGGGCGGAGGAGTAGTACTGTACCTGCAGGTATTAATGGATTAAGTTGACTGAATTATATAATGACAATAACGTCACAAGGTCGAGGAAAAACTGAGTTAGGTTGAGATCATTGATCCTTTAAATGTGGTTAATGAAATCGTCAGCCATATTTTGGCCACCTTTTCAGATGCATGAAAGCTGAGGAGGGGCAGCTCGTGCGCCTTTCAGACATGGACATTCAGCGGCCAAAGCCTCAACAGCATGTTATGCAGGGATATTTTTTTTGAAGGAGTATAAGTATGTAGTTATTGAGTCCAGTTGTTTGCTAAGCACAGTCGGACATTTTTCAATTTTCTCCGTATATGGGTGCAAGTCAAATTATAAGGTCCGGAGCAAAATCCGGGACCACACCCGTTCCATACCCCCGTTCCATACCCCCCTTCCATACCTGTTTGAAGGATCCGTTCCATACCTATGTTCCATACCTTTGTTCCATACCTCTGATCCATACGTTATGATATATATATATATATATATTTATATATATATAGTCTGATTTTACATTTGCACGCACATACTTGAGCGCACATACATACATGAGTGTGTACATGCAAGAATACGTTTACTATGCCCAAGCCCTGTGATTGTGTTGGCAAGTCTGTGCCTGCAGCGATACCTACTTTGTTGTGTGATGGTAGGGATGTGCTTGGCTGTTGTTAGCTGGCAGTCTAAGAATGGATTGCTTGTAACCCTCACTCCCTCTCAACCTGTGGCAGGTTTTCGCCTGCACCACTTACAGTTGCTGCCCGCTGTGGTACAGCTGTGATGTTTGATGGTAGAGATGTGCTTGGCTGTTGCCAGCTGGCAGTCTAAGAATTGCTTGCTGCGCTACTCTCGCTCCAAACTGCCAATTTTGATAAAGATGTGCTGCGTGGTGGCAGAGCTGTGCTGGAGTGGGCCATTTCGTTCCAGATCCCGTTCCATACCATTCCATATTCGTTCCAGACCCACCCATGTACCATCCCTGACCCACTTCCGGATGAACAAATGGCAGGTTCTCACATGGACTGCATGGGAGCCTAGAGTCTTGCTACGCGGGGGCACAATCTACCCCATAGGGACCGGGACCTCTGAGTTTTAAGAGTAGGAGGTGGGACCTGCATGACAGGTCTGCAGCTGAGTGGACAGCTTCACATAGTAGCCAGTGGGTGAGGCTGGCTACCGGATGCTACCGGTTGTGTCCTGGCGTAGCCATGCAAGGCAAAAACGGGTTGAACAGGTGTACAACAAGGATGCCGCGCGGATGAGAAGTGAAAATGAGCGGCAGCCAGCGGTAGTAGCTTCAATGTGCATATTGTCGAAATGTATATTATATACATATATACAGTATACATAATATATATATAATATATATTTGTACAGCTTATAATTCATCACATTCCAAAGGTCCGGAACAAGACCAGTTACGAACCCCCTTCGTTCCATACGTCCGGAACAGCGCAGAACGTTCCATACACAACTTTGACTCATAGCCATATATTTGAAGTGTCAGGTCTGATCATGTATGGTGATTGCAGGTCTCGGATTGAAGCAATGGAATCCAAGCTCAACGAGGTTCAGGTGCTCTTGGTACTTGTGGTGCTCGGATCCTCTTCTACTCTTCTACCTTAGATGGAGGTGTTCACGTGTGTCACTTTCCAGGGCGAGCAGCGGCTTTTGCGCGATTTGAAATCCATCATGGATGCGCACAAACTTCAGGTGGCTTGAGATGCTAAGATGTGGCATGATGTGGCGAATGCTTGGGAAACCCTCCTGGGGTGTGGCAAGGCTGATCGGCGACTGGGCGACTTGGACAGCGCGCTGGCATCCATCGAGGCCTGTATCTTAATATAATTATAGACAGCTATTATAGGACATGATAACCGAACAATCATGCTAAACTAAGAACAACGCTGAATTTGTTGATTCATGTTGATTCGCAAAAACCGACTCATGCTGATATTTTGTTGGGAAACTGACGCGCAAGGTGCAGTACCTCACACTTCAGCTCATTGCTTTTCGAAATAGTGTAAACTACGGAAAACATCGGAAAACCACGTCTTGACTTGACAAGGAACAGATCCGGGAGAAAGACAGAAGGCGAAACAACGACGTTGACGCGCACAGGACTGGCTTCTGCATCTTATCAGGATTTCTCGGGATTTCTCCAAGTGATTCAGCTCATTTTCGGCGCCTTTCACCATTTTTCACCTCTTGGGATCCTATATTCCCCAATCTGCGCAGGGCTCGCTTCGAGGGCTTTGAGAATCGACTTACAGAGCTCCAGGTGGGAACTTCTTTTCTGTGTCCTCATCGCAATTGGACGCAACTAGAATGCTGTTTGTGAGTGACACGATGGCGTCACGATGGTGTCACGATGGTGACACCACCAAGGGGCACAGCTTTCACAGCTTTCACAGCTTTCACAGCTTTCACAGCTTTCAGGTGAGCCAGGTCCGACACAAGACGTCAGTGGAGAACCTGGATATTGCGGTGACCAGCTTGGAGCCGCTACGAGCGACTGCAGCTCGGCTTCCCCAACATGTCTGGGGACAGCAGTTCCGCATAGTTCCGCAATGCAAAGCTGAGTATGATGATTGATAATACATGATAATATTACGATGATCAATATCACATATTGATTTATGATGATCGAATATTATCGATATGATGATCATATGATGACTGTATACTTAAGCTTTAGAAGTCTTGACATAGGCGGTTCAGGTAGTTCGAGATGAAACTGCGCAAGTTGCACGGCTTTGTGCGCGCCAAGGTCACCACCCTGCAAGGGGGTTTGGCTGCAGTAGAGGAGCGGATTCGATCACGGGCTCAGGAGCGCTTTCAGGATGTCTCGCAGCACATGTTATTTAACCGATTCAGCGTGTTCCGCCGGCCACCATGGAAAGAGCTATACCCTGCAAGCCGCAGCGCTTGCACAGGCCTAGCAAGAAGCTAGTTTTTGTGTAAAACATGGTTTTTGTGCATAACACGGTTTTTGTGTAAAGCAGCGTTGTGTGATGTTTTGTGTATATAAATCATGGTTTTTGTGCAAGCCACGGTTTAGGTCTAGGTTTAAGCCAAAGCATGAGTGTGTAAGCCAGGGTTTGGAAAAGGCCATGTATAGAAAGGTTACACGTGTAAAAAAAGGTGTTCTGCACGAAAACTAGTTGATGGACAGGCCACCTATATCAAGTATTGGACAAAGGAAACGACGGAGCAAACCGATGGCAAACAAAGAAAAAAGGCGGAAAACACAGGTACGTTTAGGTTTTCTCTACCCACCCACACAAGTGAGCACAGCCACTAGTCAAGGCTGCCTCTACTCATGTGACGCGTGCACCTTAAGGGCTGTGCACCTCCTTTCACACTCCCCCCAACCTGCTGACTTCACCTGGACAGCAGGTTGCACTAGAGATAAGGCCACAGCTATATGATCTATTTTCCTTTGCCAAGGTCGCTTATTTCTTTTCTGCTCCCCGGGCTGCGGCAACTTGCAGGTTCTTGTGTGGAGAATCTCTCTTTATCCCCGGCTGCAAAGCCCCACGTCTCCAATCCCCGGTGGTGGGCCGGCTACGCAAACCTTCCCCTCAGTTCAGCCCTCCACCTGGCGTTAGCCAAGGCTTCTGGCTTTACCAAGATTCAGGCGCGCCCGTGCTCGACACCACGCCAAGGACATTCCACGATGCACAGGGGCCATCAAGGACCTATCATTGCCTTGACTGGCGTGAGCGTTGGGCTCATAACCTACGTTTAGGTTTTCTCTACCCACCCACACAAGTGAGCACAGCCACTAGTCAAGGCTGCCTCTACTCATGTGACGCGTGCACCTTAAGGGCTGTGCACCTCCTTTCACAACAGGAAACAGCAACATGTTGAGGGGGGGACGGAAGAGATGGGGGGGTTCAAGTTAGACAAGGCAAAAATCCGCGCCAAGGGGAAAGTCTAGACAAAGACAAAGGACAAGACAGACGGTACAACTACGAACAAGCAAGATCCACAAGATACGCCGGCTAGCCGGCGGATTTGAATTAACATGTGTTGAAGTATGTTAGACTGTGTTAAAGTATGTTAAAATAGACTAAAACCATCAGCAGATTTCCGTCATCTCTTTGCACATCTCTTTCAATTCCGCGCAAAACTCAAAGCTTGTTCTCTGCAGGAGCTGTCGCAGGACATGCAGCAATCCTGGAATTCCCAGAACTCGCTCACACAGCGCGTGAATGCCATGGCCACAGATGTGGGAAATCTGCAGCACAGCTTGAAGGGCTTCAAACTCACAACTCAAAGGCTTGATGCATGTGGAGCGACTTTGCTGAATCACATGTCTTCAGTGGAAGGAGTAGGCTTCAGGTCCACTTGAGCAGCATCAAAAACCTCCATGAAGTGATTTAGTATTCGGGTTCATGTGGGAAACCCCCCCGAAAGCAAAACCTCCACGCGCGAAAGCTCCGCGAAAGGAGTGCGTCAAGGTCGAGCCGCGAAAGCAGCGGCGAAGGCAGGTAGATAGTAGAAGCGCGTTTAAATATTCATGTACAACAGGCAGTTTTCCGCGAAAGCAACCGCAAAAGATATTATGATAATTATGAAACAAATGCCGCCGCGAAAGCCAAAACTGGAGGCAGCTGGCACAGGACGCTCTTTTAAGGAAGAGGAGCCTGCTGATCAATGGGAACAACAACGTTCATCAACAGGCAGTCCAGAATCACAAGGACAAGATGTTATACCTCCTCAAGATCAAGATGATCCCATGGGTGAAGAGGTTGTTGACCTTTGGGCAGCAGAGGATGAAGAAGACTATGTGGCTCAACAGGCAACACGTTCATCTATTTAATTTCTGCATCAAATCCCTGGGTCTTGTATGAAGCAGGCATCATTTGTGCTCGTGATGAAGATGGCCAACTTAGATTGAATAGTCGTGGAGAGAAGGTCATCAATACCAGGCAATGGGCATATTTGCGGACCAATCAGCGGATTGCTTTGAGAAGACAGTCAATAGGACGAGCTGATTGGGAGAAGCTTCCATGGACAGGACACATGTGCTACGTTTTCACACGTAGCTGGGAGATGGGAGGATTGAGATCATTTTACATGAGAACAGGTCAGTGCAATCAGATTGCCAATTTTTTTGATAGATTGCAGATTGAATGGCACCGGTTGGATGAGAGGCACAGGGGAGCCAACGGCATGGGCAAACAGATTTCAGATTGAAAGAGAGCAATGGTCAGAACACTGGCTCTTGTATGAGCGTGATTTGCAGATCCAAGAGGACATGGAGTGGTTCGTTGAAGCAGTTTGCCAATTTGATCAAGTTCGCTTAGATCGATTGAGATCAGGAGCAATGACCGGCTTTGGGGTGACTTCTGTGTGAAGAAGGCTGATGAAACAAACCAAAGTGAGCACCTGACTCTGAACACTTGTGGATGCGACACATCAGATCCATCAGTTGAAGTTCCTTTGAGCAAGGACACCATCAATCCAGATCCAGAATTTCATTTTTCATTTTCCACAAAGGTCATGGTCTTAGCTATTGACCAACATCAAAGAGACTCACTTCGACATTTCTGTCACTATGTCAACTTTGCTCATGGCAAATTGGTCCGGTTTGCAGAAAGCAGGAGATGATGACCGCTCAGTCTTGCAGTCTTACAGGTTCTTTGTCGAGCATGCCTACAACAAATTCTTTCAGCATGAGGCCTTTAACCAGTCTGCACATGCTAGAACAAAAGCAAAGGATTTTGGTGCAGCTGGAACTTTCCACACATTGACCAAGCCTGATGGATACATTTGGATTGGTAGCAAGGACAACCTTTTGCATGTTCCAAAAGATCAAGCAGATGATGTTGAAATTACTGAAAGTGATATTGCAAAAGAAGTTGAGGATACCCTACCACGTGTTGAAGTGAAGGCCAGACCAAGACCACAAGAAGAAGAAAAGAAAGAAGATGTAAGCTCTCAACAGGAAGAGGAAACATCACAGCATGCAGGACACGCTGAGAATGCAAAGATACCTGCTATGCCAAGAGGCCGTACAGCAGAGGAACGGTATGGTAACTTAATCATTCAGCAGCTCACGCCAGAACATCAAGAACAATTGAGGATGTGTGCATTTAACTCTCGCAATGTTCTTGGTGCAGAAGACAGGGATCCAGAAAGAGACCACCAAACGCCTGATCAAGTTAGCTCTTTTGGCACGGTCTTCATGATGGAGCGCACGAGTTTTGAAACGCATTCACCACTCATGGAACATGTTATGACACAGACTCCAATCTCATATGGCAGTTGTCATGAACTATGTCTGGATGTCAAGGTCTTGGAAGAGAACAGGCATATCAAAGTAGCAGCATTTGAGGAAGAAGATGAACCAGAAATGCCTGAAGGACCTCGAGATGATCGTGCACCAGGTGATCCTGAATACAAAGGGGCTGTGGAACACTTGGCTCCTGAAAACAACATGTCGGACAGGAAAACATTTCCAATGAGCACAGTTTATATACGCTTTCAAGGCCCAAGAGAGAGATATAGAGGTATAGCTTGCACACTAGGCGCTGCACTGGCTGGCTATTGGCCGACAGAGGAAAACTAGTGCTTGCAGCCTTGGAAGGCTTTAGCTGATCCTTGAAGGACGCTATTGCCCCTCTTCAACCCGCCGTGTAAAGGGTAGTGATGATTGATTGAACATGATTGATTGGCTGACTGGCTGGATGGTTGAACGGTGAAATCGACCAATCAAAAGCTGCGTGATTGAATGGCCGAACGATTGGGAGAGCGATCTAATTGAATGATTGTGCGAGCTGCCTCCGTCTCCTCAAGCACCTCCTTTCTGAGAGAAGCAATCTCCTAAAATACGTTCTCATTGAGCTACTTCTCTCCTCAGCTCGCTCTTCTCCTGAGCTGCCTCATCGACCTTTTCTCTGACCGTTCCCAGCAGTTAAGTGTAAATAAGAAGACAGCCCCATGGACACGCGGTGATTTGTTGTCCTTGGAATAGGTTTTGAAACAGGAATTTCTTTTCCTCCATGGTTTTGTGATGTCGTTTGGAGTGCATCAAGATGCTTTCAATATCTTTGAGTTGTGTTTCCCAACAGATGTGACAGACATGCTAAGCCTTTGGCTGAGGCGGCACGCCCAGGAGGTCCTGTGGTGGTTAATTAAGATTAAGGTAGGTTATCCTAAAATTATTGAAGCCAGGTTAGCTTCATTAAGGGTAAGAGAGGTTGCTTGATTTAAGCAAGGTTTTTTTGTTGTGTCCTCTGGTTTTCGCAGAATGTAATCGGATGATGTTCGAGGGTTATGCTTTGAGTATGTGATATTTCGTGCACATATGTTTTCCATATGTAGCGTACCGTGCTCGAAAGAAATGGAAAAGGGAATTTGGGAAAGATTTTTAAAACAGAAACTGTTAGATAAAAGTCATGATGGTCCAAAGGAAACATGGAAAGGAAAGTGGGTAGCGTCTTGATGGAAAGGTGTCATTGTTTCAAGAGTGTGATGGAACATGTATTTTGGCTCTCATCACGGAAAGAGGTTTGCCCTTTCCGATAGCAAAGAGGCTTGCCCTTTGCTAGGCGAAGAGGCTTGCCCTTCGCTTGAACTGGTTACAGCGGTGTGCACATTGCATTTTTTCTTCGTTTTTTTCATCATATTTTCTTGGTTATTTTTTTGTTTTGTTTTCAATTGTTCAATTTTTTGAAACTTTCAAAATATATCTTTATATATACAATATATATATATATATATTTTTCTATTTTTATTTTCTCGAAATTTCAAGTTTTCGGAAATTTACAAGTTGATCAACTTATCGTTTTTTGAAAATTACAGAAAATAAAGAAAAAGGATAAATTGTTTTTCAAATATAAAATTCAACAAGGAAAAAAAAATTTAGGAAAAGAAAGCAAAACTACGTAGAACAATGAAAGAAAAACGGAACTCTGAAAAAAAAAGATTTCAAAAAAGCAATGAATTTGAGAGCTGGTTCTGCTGCCAAAAGCAAGAAGATGAACACCGCCTAAAAGAACCGCTCGGAAAAAAAAAGAAAGAGAAAACAAGAAAAACTCATCAAGCGACGTCATGGACGCTACAATGTCTTTTCGGACTCTTCTACCTCCTAGCGGCTTTGCCCTTTCCACCTTTGTTAGAGGCTTGCCGTAACAACATCGCAGTGACAGAACAAGTTCTTCACGACAAAAGAACAACATGCTGCTACGAAAAATACATCACTTGACAGCGATGTAAACAAAAAACAATAACCTTCCTTAAATTTAAGCAAGGTGGCTTAAATAAGATAACCTTGCTTATTTAAGACAACCTCTCTCAACAAAGTCGTTAATTAAAGACTTTTACCTTAATTAGCGAAGGTTTTCCCTTAATTAAGGTAAAAGCGTCTCCTGAGGCGAGGTTAATAAGCAAGGTGACCTTAAATAAGGTAGGCATTCTTATTTAACAACCACAGGAACTCCTGGGCAAGCTGGTGCCACTCAGCCAAAACAACCGCAGACACCAACTTCTCAGGCACCTCATGCATCATCGCAAGCATCCCAGGCCAGTGCCCAAACATCTGCTGCCGTTTGATGTCGTACAAGGTGTGCTGCCCCATAGGTAAATAAGTTGGGCTATCAGTAGTAGGACTTACGGTAGAGAAGTATAGCTATTTAATGGGGGGATGATGTCAGATGATGCACTCATTGGACATCGGTGGAATCTGTGCCAGGGCCCTAAGCCTGGTTTTGACAAGCCTCGCCGTCAGCGACAGAACCTCAGAATGATGGTGCAACACCATGCTGCTTAATGCTGCCAATGCCCGCTCACTCTTTGGCAGGTTGATTTGTAGGACATTTTCGGACATTGGAATATTGACGGTGCTCCGTTTCAACTGCTGTTGCCAACTGCTTCTGCCACTCGTTCTTGCTGTCCCTCCCATTCCCGCTGAGCCTCTTCCCCCACGTTCCGATCAGGCTCATTCAGGCTCCTTGGATTCTAAGAATCATCAACTGAAGCCCTTCTGAATCCCTTCTAAAAATTTACCCGGCAAGAGACACCAAACAGTGCGGGGAGTGGGAGGATAATGTATGATAATGTGGATGATTCTGATGATGATGATGATGATGATGATGATGATGATGAAGACCATGATGAGATGATGGTGATGATGATAATGATGATGGTGATGATGGTGGTGAGGGTGATGATGGTGATGATGATAATGATGGTGAGGATGAGGATGATGATGGAGATGATGGAGATGATGATGATGATAATGATGATGATGATAATGATGATGTTCATGATGCGGAAGATGAAGTGGAGGAGGATCAGGTGGAGGAGGATGATTTAGAGAAGGAGGAAAATGATGACGTTGAGGAGGACAAGTGATGATGATGATGATGATGATGATGATGATGATGATTGCGAGGATGGCGAGGACGATGGTGATCATGATGGTGATGGTGATGATGATGATGGTGATGATGATGATGGTGATGATGATGATGATGGTGGTGGTGGTGGTGATGATGATTAGGGCGAGGATGACTAGGATCGGTCCAGAACTTAGGACCACACTTTGTGCCAGCCTGCGCAGTCGACACGTATGTCGAGATTTCACAAGAGGCACTCTATACGGAAATTCACAGGACAATTGCCGCGCCCGGCCAAAATCGTGCCGCACACTTTGTGCGAGTCTGCGCAGTGGAAACGCATGTCAAGATTTCACAAGAGCTACTTTACACAGAAATTTACAGGAAAAATGCCGCAGAATGAGCACCCTGATCAAGCACCGGCCTTTACAGCTACCGTAAGGACCTCTCAGTGTTGACACACTGTTTGGGGAATCATCAGCTGGGGAGGTTGGCGCGGAGGCCAGCAGATTCAAAGATAGACTGTCGAAAGCAAAGTTGCGCCAGCAATGACCAAGGCATTTGTGTGGTAAATTGAGCGAAGTTAGCTGCCTGCATCTTTCCCATGCCTTTATAGTCAGTTCTAGCTGTGATGTTAACCAAACAAAGTCCTTGGGTTTCAACCTAGTTGTGGTCGCAGTTCCAATGTAGTTGGAGTTGTAACAATAGTGCCAGTTGCAAGTATATGTTTCATTGGAGGCTTGTTTTTGTGCGATTTTTTGTTTGTAATTGATTTATTTTACACTTTCTAACACTGTTAAAAAATGTCAGCAACAATTATCATTTTAACTCAGCATAATTCAAAAGACATGCGCTAGTGAGATATGCAAAATCACGATGAGTCGATATGACGATGGAGACGACGGCACGACAACAATGTGCCGACGGCCTGACGACGATAGCTCGGCAGCACGACGACGATGTGCCGACGGCACGACGGCGATAGACCGACGGCATGACGACTGCTTGACGACGACATGATGACGATGCGACGACAGCGCGACGACCGCGCGACGACCGTCACAAACGCGGGTTTGACATGTCATAAACCCGGGTTTGGCGCTGAACCCGGGCTTATGACGGTCGTCGCTCCGTCGTCGCACCGTCATGGCCTCGTCGTTATGTCGTCGTCATGCCGTTTAACACCTACCAATTCTACCAGATATGAAAATTTCATGGTTTCTGACCTTGGTTTTATACATTCCAATCGTTCCAAGGCATAATCTTGCATATCTTGCTGGTTGGTAATTTCAAACTAATGTAGTTTCCCATTCCCTTTGTTCAAGTATAATACCCAGTTGCAGCTATGGCCCTCCTCTTACAGTAGTGGGGGGTAAAAACATGTTCGCTGCAACCCCTATTGCCCGCGGCCAATCCCGCATATCCTTTGACATGCTCAAATTCCTGCGCAGGGGTTAAATTTGTTACTTTCCAAAACAACAAACACCAACACCCTAAAACCTAAAACTCTAAAACCTAAAACCCTAAACCCTAAATCAAAACCCTAAATCCTGAAAACTTAAAGTCAAAATCACTGCGTATAGCCAGTGTTTTCATTCATCCTTTGGTGATAAGTATATCATATTGTTTGGATGTGTTGTTTGAGTGTGGGCGAACCAGAGGGTTGCGGGGAACATGTTTTAACCTCGATACTACATTTGGCACGCCCCATGGGATTAGGATGACGATGATGATGTTGATGATCCGTGGTTGACCTTAAGGTGCGTTATTTGAAGACAAACCCGTATGAGAAGAATTCAGAATAGAGATTTGGCTGCAAGGCAAGACCTAGGTGAAAATGAAAAGAGTTGGCAAATGGATGGTCATATCCCCAAATATGGCATCAAAAGTATTTGTTTGGCACATTTGTTCAATGTGCCCTTTTCTGAAACCCTTCATCATCGAAAGGGAGGGGAAAGGGCACCTGCAAAAAATGGCACCAAAACAAAGAAAAAAATAGCAAACTACAATGCAAACAATACTTCAAAACGCTTACCACCTCTACAGCTTATGCCTTGCAATGCCTTATTCATGTATTTGAAACATTTTTTCAAATTGCCTTTTTCAGACCCCTCTCGTCACCTAAGCAATGGAAAAATTGCACCTGCAAACGACCAACAAAACAAAAACAAGAAACAAAAGGCTACAATGCAAACAACACGTCAAAACATGTACCATCTCTTGAACTCATGCCTTGCAATGCCTTCTTCATGTATTTGGAACATTTTTTCAAGGTGCCCTTTCCTGACCCCTTTCATCTTCTAAGGAAAGGAAAAAAGGTCACCTGCAAAAAATGAGCCAAAACGAAGACATATTCCCGGAAGGTAATGTAGTTTCAACTTTGGGCCCCACCCCTAAAAAAAATTGGTGGGGCTCAAATTTGATTCCTTTTCACAGCAAGATTTGAACAGAACCTGTTTTATCTTCAACTCTGGGTACCCAACAAACTCTATTTTTTCGTTGGGTTCAAACTGGAATACTTTCACCAGATTTGAAAAGAACATCTTTTTATCTTCAACTCTGGGTACCCAACAAACTATACTTTTTCGTTGGGTTCAAACTTGAATACTTTCACCAGATTTGAAAAGAACATATTTTTATCTTCAACTTTGGGCCCCACTAAAAATTATAGTTGTTAGTGGGGCTCCAATTGATTACTTTGACAAAATTTGAAAAAAACAATTTGTTTTTTTCAACTTTGGGCCCCACTAAAAGTAACAATTTTTGGTGGGGCTTAGATTGATATTTTTTGGTGGGGCTCAAATGAACATACTCCGACAAGATTTGAAAAGAACAGATTTCAGCTTCAACTTTGGGCCCCACTCTTTAAAAAAAATAAGGGGGCTCGAAGTGAATACTTGGACAAGGTATTATGGCATTTTCCAATGTACTCTGTTTTCAACAACATTTCTCTCTGAACTGCAGGTACCATAGGTTTGTTTCTGCACTTGGTAATTCTAATTACTAACTGCCAACTACTGCCTAGTGAATATCACCTGCTAACGAGAAACCTCTCACAACCATACTAGCTAGTAACTAGTAACTATTAAGTATTCACTATGTATTCACTAGTAAAAGTATGTCCTTTGAAGAGGACGTAGGCCTGTTTAAGGTACTTGAACAGTTTTTTTTTACATATAATCTTTTGGTTGGTGGGCATGGCTTACAACATGAATGCTTCTTCACAAACATTTTGACACAATATGTTTTGAAATCCTAAGAATTAAACATTTTTTGGAAAGTGTGCATTGCACACAATTGTTATTTTACATTCCAAGTTTTTCCAGCTTCTTTCCAAATACCTTTGGTTGCAAGCTAGTTTCTTCAAAGAGAAAAGGGAGCAATATTGAAAAAGTCTCCATTTTGAAATTGGTGTACAGAGGTCGTCCAAGCCATATTCAAAATTCCCAAAGTTCATATGTTCACGTTAAAATTAGGCATTGCGGCATTGCACCAAAATCAAGCAATTTAAAATTTCCTCATAGATTGCTTGAATAGGATTGCTGAATTAAGCAATCTTCTTATTTGAGCAATCTTGGAAGACCCACAGCGAAACAGAGTGCTACTGAAGGACGGATCATGCCCTCGGCCAGCCGCTGCTGGTGCCCAACGTTGCTTTTTTGTTCCCTATCTTCTCTTGCTTGCTCTTGCAGCTTGCTTGCTTCTTCGAGTATTTTGGCTACCGTTTTGCTCTCGCTGCTTGCTTCTTCTAGTTCTTTTGCTGGCTTCTTGCTCTTGCAGCTTGTACCATCTTCTTCCCCTTGCTGTCGGCAGGGGTCGGCGGATATTTTCCTTCTTCCCCTTCACTGAAACTCTCCGTTTGGCATTGCTTCTCTGGCGCGCTTCCCCTGGTTCCCTGGGGTCGGCGGATATATATGATTATATTCACTAAGCCCACATAAACTTACACCAGCCCTAAATAGATCTAAAACCAGGCCTGAATAAATCGTAAACCAACGCTAAACAAACCTTAAAGCAACCCTGAGTAGGTCCTACACCAACTCTAGATAGATCCTAAACCAAGCCTAAATAAACCCTAAAACCAACCGTAAATAGATCCTAAACCAGCCCTAAATAGACTTAATAGATGCTAACCCAAGCCTAAACAGATTTTATACCAACCCTAAAAAGATCTTAAACCAGGCCTAAATAGATCCTAAACCAACCCTCAACAAACTTTAAACCAACCCTAAACAGATCCTAAGCCAAGCCTAAATTAACCCTAAAGCCAACCCTGAACAGATCCTAAACCGATCCTAAATAATTAGATTTTTAACCAAGCCTAAATACAGTTTAAATACACATCAACACTAAGAAAATCCTAAACCACCCCTAAATAAATAGATTTTAAAACAAGCCGGCATAAAACCCTAAACCAATTACCAAATAAACCTCACACCCATCTTAAATGGATCTTAAACGAACCCTTAAAAAATCCTAAACCAAACCTAAATAACCTAAACCAACCCAAAATACATCTTGAACAAAACCTAAATAAATACTAAACCAACCCCAAACAAATTTAAAAACAACCCTAAATAGGTCTTAATCCAACCCTAGATATATTTCAAACCAAACCTAAATTAAGCATAAAACCGACCCTACATCGTTTTTAAACAAACCCTAAATATCCCTAAATAGATTTTTAACCAAGCCTAAGTATTAACCACAAAATCCTAAGAACATCCTAAACTAACCCTTAAAAAATATTTAAATAAAGCCGAACTTTAAAACAAACCCTTAAAAAACCTGAAGCCAAACCTAGCAAAAAACCTTAAACGAACCCTAGATGAATTCCAGTTGCAAACAACCATATTACATGAACAGTTCGAGCGCCAAAATGTAGCAAATTCCATCCAAAATAAAAGGTTCGGACTCCAAAAAGGTGCAAATACCGTTGAAATGGCAGCTTCCAGCTCCAAATTGCGGCAAATAGCAAGGAAAATGGACAGAACAGGAAATAAAAGAAAACAAAACGGAAAAAAAAAAATCTCCAAACAATTCCGGACCCACTTTTCATTAGCAGCTCATTGTTCTCGTATTATTTTTGTCCTTGTTCTTCTATTCCATTCCTCTTCTTTTTGTTCGTAGTCTTGTTATTTCTGATTCCTCGTGCTGTTCCTGTTTTTTTGCCGCTGCTGTTGTCATTGTGGCCGTAGTGGGTGGTCATGGTCCTTGCAGATGGAATCGGTTGTGCCTGTGTAGTCTACTGTAGTTTGAACCAACTCATGCAATAGCTTTCCGATTTGAACTTAGCTGATTCCACCACAAACAGCCTGCGCATGCCTTCGCTAACTTTGCCTAGGTGTCACTGGTAAGCCTGCAACAGCAAGGGCATCCGCAAGATCAAAAGATGACGAGATACAGAAGGCCCCCACCTGCATCATTTTGATTTGATTCAAAGACAGTTTCAGTAGCCAATCTGGCTGAAGTCTGATTGGCGTACCTAGGTCTTCAATGACATAGACACAGGTGGCAGTGGAGTGACTTGTCTCATGAAATTGGGCCAACATGTAATAATTAATAATCATCTATTGGCCTAGATTTGTTCGGAAGATTTCTGCAACTGAGCTGAGGTCTTAACCCTTGAAGATTTGCAGAGCTACTTGTGCGATCATTTAGGCTTTGGGCAGGTCGGCAGCCAGTCGCCCGATCTGTTCCGCTTCCAGATGCTTAGACATGTGTTGGTCAGGCTGAAGCATTTGGATTTATGAAGACTTTCGGCCAAGGCGGGGGCCAATACAAGCTATGTGCAACTCGTTTGACATTTTTCCATGATCATTTGTTCAAGAATGGTTGAATCCTGGAAGTCTCCAGTTGAAGCGTGTTTCTGTGTGTTTCTGTGTGTTTCTCATTCCAACTTCGCGTGCGCTGGCGGAAAAAAGCGCCATTGCCCCACTCGGTGTCTCTCAGATTTTCGGTCGCCGCCATGGCCGCTATGGCTTCCGTCAACGACATCATGAAGGCCATCAACCAAAGCTGCCGAGCCAAAGGAGGTCACTACGCTGGTTACAGTTGCCAGGTGGGGACGGTGACATGTAAGACATTTCTGAAAAAGCACATAAGATCAACTCAGATCAAACAAAATTTGAAATGCATGAAGGACTTTGATGTATTAGCATAACATCAAATATTGTGATGTGTGCTTTGTACTTGAACTGAATGGAAGGGAACAATATACTATAGTATTGTTGACTGCAATGTATAGATGTATACATGCATACCCAATCATTCCTTTTATACAAGATATATATAAATTATATAAATTATATACTGTACCTGCAGGATTTTTTGGTGGAACCTTTGTGATTTCAGTTTGCATCTGAGAAGCTATACCCTCAGGTAGTTTCATGGGACGACGTTTGTCGTGGCGAAGTTGATGGTGCATTGTCATGCTGGGGGGCAAACATCACCGACACCTACCTGAAGAGCAAATCCGGGGCAAATCTCTTCACAGTTCGAAGCGACAACTGGAACGAGCGTTTGGGAGTTGTTTCTTCTTCTGATGTGGCAGTAGTTGCAGCAAAGGAGGCCGGACCCTTACAACCAGTGACTCTGCGCAACCTGTTGCAACAGCTTGGAGAGTTTGGCTCTTATGCTGGCTTGGCTGAGAACTCGGATCTTTCCAATGCTGATCTGGATGCCAAGTGCTCCATCCGCTTCCAGACCACGTTCATTCCCGTGCAAGGCGATGACGGCGATGCCCTTGGCAAATTGGAGTTTGCAACGGAGGCCTACAACTACAATACGATGGATGATTCTGACCCTCGGAATTTGGTGCTTCTTTGTACCAGTCAGGGTGTTGCTGTCCAGCAAGATGGCAGTGGAGCCAAGAAACTCTTCCATCACGCGGTTGACGATCAAGGCCAAATCCATCGATATTGGCTTGAGGCCGAAGAAAGCAAACACAAAGTTGGGGGTGAGCAACGAGAGACTCAAGAGGAGCGAGCAGAGGCACAAGCACGTGGAAAGGCCACTTCCAGTGTCATCGGCATCAGAGCTATGGGACAGCGCTTCAACGTCCTCATGACAATTCAGGTGCCGTTGCAGCAGAAGAAGCCAGCCAGGATGGACATATGCTGGGGAGCTGAATGTGAAGAGGAAGAAGGCTGCTGCGAAGATTCCGATGACGACTGGGACATGATGGACATGTGTGGAGCTATGGAGCGCAGCATGAAGTGTCGGGAGCGGAGAAGTGCTGTCGGGACGTGCACCGCTGCCCGCGTTTCTCGGGGATCTGAGTACGACGTTTGGCCTGGTCTGTCTGTTCAAGCGCCGGAACGGCATGGATCTGAACATGTCACATTAACGGTGGTTATGTACAACACAGTGAAAGGTGGCGTTCCAAGCGCAGAAGATGTTGCTGCAGCCGTTGATGACTTGGAGGCCCTTTACCAGTCGTGCTCTGAGAATGGCTTCCTGGCAGATGACCTGATGAATTTCATGAAAGAGGAGCTGAAGGTTGCAGACATGACTTCCATATACTTCCATTGCAGCAAAGCTCAGCTTTCAGCCTCCAGCTCCTGTGGTGGTGAACAATGATGTATTTCCATCTTGAATGGGCCCCGATAGGCCCCACCTTGCCATGTAATATCATGTAATCACAAGTTGTACAGCAGTGGTTTAGCGATTAGGCTGCTTTCGGTTTGCCAGGGCTGCCCTGTACAGAAGGCATTGGACAAAAATGTCCTGGCAACTTGCAACGAAGTGATGTGTTGAACACGTGCAGCTGAATCAACACAAAAAGGGGAGGTGCTGCGAAGTTACTGGCTGGAGCAACTCAAAATCAGAAGACCAGAAACTGGACATTTGGACATTCATGCAGGCGATGGAGTTTCAATGGAAGGCTTCAAGAAGGGCTATGCCAGTGGGGATCCCAGAGTGTGAACGCAGATGTGCCAGTCAAAGCAGCAGTTGAACTCAGTATGTAGTTATCAGAGGGAAAGTCAGAACTCTGTAAAGGCAACATGAGGTGACACGGTAATATGCATTATGTAAAATAAGTTATGGATTGTATGCACCATGTGGATTTAAGCGAACAACTCCTGGGAAGGACTGACACCTTTCTTGTTGAGCAAGCGCACGGGCCTCGGTTCACTAGTTGAATTGAACTCCTGAATCCTTGGGATATCCTCGGGATATCCAAGGACAAAATGAAGTTCTTATCCGAAAGGATGGTTCGCCAAGAGCTGAGAACGGAAATAGAAACTGCTGCCGGGCTGCCCTTGGTGGTTCGCCAACAGCACCTGCAGCCATTACATTCGGGTGTCAAACGCACTGCTCACTTTAGAGAAGTGATATAGGAGATTGCCGAGGCTGAGTTCCATGGGTCCTCAAAGTCTGCAAATTGAGGAGCTGGATGACTGCGAGGTGCTTGTAAAGTAGAATAACAAATCGATCTAAAGGGAAAAAGGTTTTGCTCCTCTTTGAGAAGCTTGGCTGTTGGCACTTCCTTCCGGCTTTGCAGAGTCAGAGCCAGGTGTATATTTGCGAAGTGACCAACACCATATTCGTGGACGAATGTGCCTTGCTCAGCAAATCTGTTGAGGAGAGTTTCTAAACAGTTTCAGCTGTCCGCAAGGCAAGCGATGCGCTATGCTTATTGGTGTGGCACTGAGTTTCGTGAGTTTGCACGCCTTCATGCTTCACCTGGCTGGTTCCTGTCAAGCACGCAATGTTTGAAAGACTTGATATCATAGGCACAGAAACGATCATGAGCTGACGCTAGGCCCTTGCGAAACCTCTGTGTTCGTTCGAGACTGTGACTTGGCTTTTCAATCAACCACGCATATATAGCTTAGTGCCTAAACGTGCGTTTGGAATCCTTGCTGCACAACCCGTTTCCACCATGATGACCTACTTGCACCTACCATGTACTTGCTACTGTACAGCCTAGGTGAAGATTGCGTGTTTTGGCCAGACCCCAAGTCCTTCAAAAAGATCACGTGCAAGAGATTCCCATCACTTGCATGTCATGGAGGATTGCAGCCCAGCAGCTGCGCACAAGAGGATGCAAGCGGTGCAAATTCTTCTTGTACTCCAAGCAGATGTCTCAGAGACAGGTTCAGTCAGTGGACAATTAATCGATGAGTGCATCTGATAATATGTATGAGTATGTATCATTTATACATATCTCATACATATATTTACATGTAATCATATTATAATCATATATCATATAACATATAATTAAGGGGCTCCGCCCCCTGCCGCCGACCCCTGGGCTGAGCCTGCGATCAGCTTCTCCATGGCCCTGAAGCACACACACACACACACACGCATATATAAAGATATATATATATATATATATCTATACATATATATATATATATATGTATGGTTATACACTGCAAAGTTAGGTGTGCGTTGATTATGTATACATGGGTGCAATTCTGCTAAGGGGCTGACATGACAAAGCCAGAGTAGAAACATAATTATATCAGTGGTTCAATCTTGCTTGGTTGCCGAATCAAGGCTGTCTGGTGCCATGCTTTTGCAGCTTTTGGATCGATAGTGTGAGAAGTAGCAGCACAGGCACACTGGGACAAATTTCACCCGCAATAGCGAGGGTTGTTTGCGCTTTTTGTCCGGCCATGGATCACATTGAATTCAAAGTCCCTGCTGGGTGCTACACAGAAGCTTCTGTGAAGGACGCAGCCAGCATTTGTTCCACCAGCTGTTGCGAGCAGAAGTCTAGGCAACCAACTACTTGTAGCTGCAACTAGCTGATTGGTTCTGTTGCGGTGCCGAGAGTTGTGACATTGCAGGAACTGAGAGCCTTCCTCAGCTGCACGCATCGGAAGATCGGCGAAGGATCTCTTCTGTGGCGCGTGAGGCTCAGAACTTGACATTTTGGACCACTTTTGCGAGGTTTGGTAGATTTCGCCTGTTGGTCCTGGAAATGGTAAAGTCACAGATGATCACAGATGATTTCGCCGTTTCGCGACGATTTACGTCTTTGTCTGTAAGACATTTTAAGAAGCCTTTGTGGTGGGAGGCTTCAGTTGGCCGACATGAAAGAGGCGCCATGGGGAATATCTTGATTTTCATTATCTGAGCACATGAGTTGTTTTTTTTTGCGGAAAACCGTTGATTAATATAACTATATCATAAAATATCATATATACATACATATTTATATATATATACATGTATAGATATATATATATATACATATACATATATGTAGCTAAGGCTGGCCATGATACTGGGATTGAACTGGTAATCGAAAAACGCCCTGAAGTTGACACAACAGTGGCCATTTTAGAAAAATGGCTAGTTTTGCAAAAAAATACTTTGCGTTGCCAACATATTAGTTCCACCAATCTTGCAGCAGTTCTGCTCACATTGCAGGAATTTCAACGAAAGATGAGCGACTTTGACCGAAAGAAAGCCATGGATATGCGAACGCTCAGCAAGGTCTGGCTGATTTCACAAGTGGTTTGGGGATTTCTCAAGTACGATTTCACCTCGTGGATTCCCATTGTTGTAGGAATGTCGGTGTAGGAATTGAAGGGAAACCTTCAAAAAAATACACCCCTTTATCTTGGAAAACACATAATACTGCTAAACAAATCATGTTCATAAACACGATTATATAAATGCATGTTTCAACCAATTCAATCCAATTCATACATTAATGTGAAAGTTGGCATGTTCAGAAATGCAATCTAATACGAATTAATCTAATGTGGGTAAAAGAATCATAAACCATCTCCCAAATCACCATATTTATAGGTGGTATGTTTACCATTCCCAGGCATGGATGGTTTATGGCATTGCTTTCATTGTTTTACCATGTTTTACCCTTTGGTTATTTAACATGCCATGGAAAATCACAATTTTTAATAGGTAAACCATCTATAAATGGGCCATTTTCCATGGCTATGGTAAATAACCAGAGGGTACCATGTTTTACCCCACATTATCGGTGTTGATTTTCGCAGAACGTCAGGACTTTGAGAAGAAGGTGGAGATTGAGGCAGCGAAGCTTCGAGCGAGAACCAAGGAGCTTCGATAGTCGCCGTGTCGCACCATAAAGTTGGGCCGGAAAAAACAAGCGCAAAAAATGAACTGTTGGACCCAAATCAGAATAGATCTTATATATATATACATATATATATATATATAACACATTTTGGACCCAACATGAATAGATCTAATCTATATATATATATACACACATATTGCACTATGATCACCAGCTGCCATGAGGACCAGTTGGATTCCACGACCAAGCGGACCATCATGGAAAATGAACAAATGGCTTGGGGCTTGGCACTGGGGAAACCTGCGGACTGACAGGGGCTATGAACGAGTTTCTAGAACTTGGAAATTGATCTCTTGAAAGGATTGAACGTAGCTTTGTTGACCATAGTCAAGAGAGATAATCAAGCACAAACCCAAACACAGCAGAAAAATACTGTGCTCAGCGGAGGACTATTCTTACTTAAGCTGGTCAAGGGCATTACTCAACGTCTGCCAAGCGTTTTATGACCACCATGACGACTAATATTTCAGAAATGTAATATATACAGATTAAATGATATATAATACAATATATATATACACATACTATCTATGATAGATGTGGTAATCCCAATGCTAGCACCCCCTTTATATAACAATAAGAAATCATGATGACCTGCATATATATATACACATATATATGTGCTAATATATGTATGGTTTCTAAATATAAACCACCAGATAAGAACATGATCCCCATTATCATCCCCATTATATGATACTCCCATTTTAATGACTATGTATTTATCAGACAGTCATATATACTCATTATTGTTTTACTATGTATAATTCCATTATCCCATGATATATAGAGACTATACACCAGAAAATAAACATGTGTTTAATGTTATATCATGGCACTATCCCAGAGGCCGAGTATCATATTATCGGTGGTATATAATCCCATGATTCCATCATTACTATTATCACGATGGTTCGCCAGGTACTACCACCATCATCATCGTGCTTATAGTTTATGACGATCGGTTAGGGGATATCAACCATGATACTAAAAGATACCGTCTAGGGAAATGCTTCGCGATCGAAGATTTTACGAAATGAGCGCAGAAAATGAAGGCTGTCGAGGGCGCGAATAAGCAGCCTTATTCGCACCCTTTGCGTTCACACAGGGTAGAACCTTTTATGCTGAGCTGTCAGTGTTTATTTCATGGGGTGTGAAGGTTTAAGATCTATCAATGTCAGAAGGTTCCCAGTTCTGCAAAATGGCGTGCTCCATGATAACTTTGTAACAAATTTCCAGAAAGTAGACGAATATGTTTCATTCCCAGTACATCTCCATGTTTCGTTATAGCTGTACCTCAATCCCTATGAATTTCCATGAGCACTCACCATGTTTACCCATGCCATGTTTACACGATATCTTATATATACCTTTGATACACTCTATCCCATTATATACTATTTATTATAAACTATATACCATATACCAACCATATATTTACTATCCCATTACCCTATTATCGTTGATATCCCATTGCTATACCATTGCGACAATGTTGCAATAATGGTATAAAAATGGGATTTTACTGGTGGTATTAGCAATTTACTCCCATCATCATGATTATGGTTGACGATCATCGGTTTGGTGATATCAACTATGATAATTCTCATGGTTTTCCCCTGGTTTTCCCATGGTTTCGCATGGGTTTCCTATGGTTTTCCTACGACGGAGGTAAATGCACCACTCACTCTCGTTTTCTTTATATCTCTTTCTCTCTCTCTCTTTCTCTTGCTTTCTCTCTCTCTTTCTCTCTTTCTCTCTCACTCTCTCTCTCTCTCTCTGTCTGTTTAGCGCCGTTGCGCAGGTGGGCCGACAGCTGGAGGTTGTGGCAGCAGGGGCATCTCAGCATTGCCGGGAGCGTTGGATTGCTGGAAGTTTTCATCGGCTGGGTTGGGAGCCCTGGGGGTGCTTACATCGTTGGTAGAAAGGGTCACCCCCGGGGTAACAAAAAAAATATATATTATAGGTATTGGTTAATAATGGTTACACCATACCCATGTGGAAAAAAAAACCACCAAGGTGCTTGAGAAGTTTGGGGCTTATGGCATTCGGCTGGTGAAGAAATACACCAGGACAGCTGCAGAAGTGGGGGTGGCGTTGTTAAAAAAACTTTATATACGGGGGACCATCATGCTTAAGAATCCTACCAACTGATTGGATTATATAATTTCCATCCATGGATCAATCATCAGTATCCCGAGTAAAAGACATGAAGATAGCATTTTTGGAGCCCTTTTTCTATTCAGTATTACTTATTATATTCAGATGATACACCCATCCTAAGTATATGTTTTTTTAATTCATATAATGTGATATAATATGAATAATTATTTTTTTGGCTTTGATTGATATGATAACAAGTTTATTCGTTTGGTTGACTGGTTTCAGTTTCGAGATTCCGAGCTGGCAGGTGTTGGTGCACTGCACCCGGGCCGCTCCTGCAGTGTGGCCGTGGTGGCGGCATTTCTGATGCAAAAGGAGAAGATCTCCCTGGGAAAGGCGAAATCGCTGGGTTTCGGAGCTGATTTCATGGGATTGTACCAGGAATCATGGGATTTAACCGTTTAACCAGAAAATAACATGGATTTTATATGATTTTAACATATTTGACCAGTAAACAACTTGGATTCCTGGGTAAACTGACAGGTGAATGGCAGGTGTGCTGGAACTGGAAGAATTCATGAAAATCAACTGTTGGCGGGAATCTGCATTTGACACTCTTGAAAGAAAAACGACGATTAGCCGAGCCCACCATCAGTCTTCTGAGGCCCTTCTGTCCATCAAGGTGACTTGACTGGCATCTCAAGGCCGTCCTTGGTTCTAGTTGGCCGGTTGGCCACAAAAACAACCATGTATTTCATCATAAATCATATATTTTACCATATTCATATACTTATACCATTTTGATACACCATATAGCATATATGGTATCATATAGCCAATTTCTTATGTAGTCACAGAACCACATGTATTTCACCATCTTAAAAGATAGTACAATATGTTTTACCATACTATCAACCACATACATATAGGAATCCATATTATGGTTCAACACATTCTTACATGTATATCAAATGCAATATATCATAACATTGCAACCAGTGTATATACAATGCAATAAGTTCTGCCCACATTACATGTTATCATTGCATATGCAATCATACCTATGTGATCCTATATGTATGCACACACACACATATATATATATATATATACACATATGTATATATATATATATATGTAATCATATAACCATATTAACTATATCCGTTTAACCATATTATTAACTATATTATCAACCATATCATCAAACATATTATTAACCACATGATTAACCATATTATTAACCATATTGTTAACCACATTTTTAACCATTGTATTCATCCATATGTACACACACATATATATATATATATGTGTTTGTATGTATTTGGATCAATTATACCGACTTCACTGCGACCTCAGTGGAATCATGGTTAAGGGAAATCATCCCCAAATGGCTTTACCCAGATGTATGTCAATCCATATGAAATCCATATCAAATCCATATCAAATCATCCCAAAAGTTGTGTTTATGTCTTATGGAATGTATGTGTTTATCCACACCAAATTCTTTTATGATACTTTTTACATCCACATCCCAAAATCCATATCAAAATAGTAGTTATCCTCCCTGAGATCCACATTTCATCTTCCCTCAGGAGAAGCGTCCTGAGATCGACTGTAGGACCAACTTTTTGGACCAGCTTCGGTCTCTGGAGGAGGGGTCGCTGGGGCGGCCGGCCATCCGCGCACGAAAAAACCACAATTTGGGGTGGGGCGGGGACACCCTTAAATTGACGCCAGATTGGAACTGGATCCTGGAATTTGGATGGTTACCCTCTGGTTATTTACATAGCCATGATATAGATGTCCCATTCATAGATGGTTTACCTATTATATACAAATGGTGATTTTCCAAGGCTATGTTAAATAACCAGATGGTATTTCAATTTCATGCCAGATTTCCTGTTTTCTTTGGACTCCCGGCTGTGAATTTCTTCCGTGTTTTAATGGGTGGCGCCAGGAGGAGCTTCAAGTGGTACCTGTATGTCCCATGACCCTGGAGGCAACGAAGGGTCCAGATGGGTTACCCCCAAACAAAAACCAGCGAAGTAACCCGTTATATCCCGTTATTGAAATAGCAGGGGATTGCTTTTCTAGATAAAGGCTATGTATATATACACACGCGTATATATATATATATGCATCGGATTTGAAGATTTTTGGGGTTTGTTTGAGAATAGTTGCCCCATGCCCTATTCCATCCATCGATTAATTTATCAGCATTTTTTTTTAAGCTTGTTAGGGGCAAATATACCCGATTCTCAGACAGAACCCAAACCATATGAGGTTAGTTATTCCCATTATTACGATAGTTTAAAGTTTAGATTCGCATTCTACCATGTCATACCATCATTTCCATGATGCTTTCCCGTTTGAGGCTTTCCAGCTCCTTCCCCAGAGGAGTGGTTAGACTCTGTCAGGCGGCCGGCGCGCTCAAGAACGAGCTGTCTGAGGTCAATCCTAAGGCCTGTTAGCACGAAGAATGCGACGAAGGATGGGATTTCATAGGATGAAATACTGTGGATGGTTGCGAAATCCGAATCACCAGTTGAAAACGGTGGTAAACATCCCATGATTCATCGGGTGTCAACCATCCTTTGGTGCAGGATTTCGCAACCATCCACAGTAGGATAGGCTAGGATACATAGGTGAGTGACGATCAATACCCCCGGTAGATAGGCTATGTTTTCATCAACCCCCAGGTAGATTTGGCACAGCAATCTGCCCCTTCTGGCAGGTGATTATGGAGATTTCCTTCGATGGGCAATCCGTAGGGCGGATCGAGTTCGAACTCTTCTGTGGCTGGGCTGAAAGGTGGCTTAGAGAACCCATGGCTTACCCTGAGATACTGGGGTTTCATGGGATATAATGGATATCATCATATATACATATATACATATGTACATATATACATATGTACATATATACATATATACATATATACATATGTACATATGTACATATATACATATACACATATATACATATATATATACATATATACATATATACATATATACATATATACATATATACATATATACATATATACATATATACATATATACATATAGACATATAGACATAAAGACATATATATACATATATACATTTATACATATATACATATATATATACATATATATATATACATATACACATATATACATATATACACATATACACATATATATATACATACACATATATACATATATATATATATACATAGACATATAGACATATATACATATATACATATGTATATATATATATATGTTTATATCAATATACAGATGCACATATACACATCTATACATCTATACATGCATATATATATATATATATAAATATAAATATATAAATATAAATAAATATATATATATATATATAAATATGTACAGATAGATTAGATAGATAGATAGATAGATAGAAAAGAAAAATAGAAAGATTAGATTAGATTAGATTAGATTAAAATAGATAGATTAGATAGATGGGATAGATTGGATAGATGGGATAGACTAGATAGATTGGATAGATCGGATAGATTAGATTCATTAGATAGATTAGATAGATTAGATAGATTAGATAGATTACATAGACTAGATGGATTACATCGATTAGATGGATTAGATCGATTGGATAGATGGGGTAGATTAGATATATTGGATAGGTTGGATAGATTGGATAGGTTGGATAGATTGGATCGATGGGATAGATTAGATGGATTGGATAGATTGCATAGATTGGATAGATGAGATAGATCAGATAGATTAGATGGTTTATATAGATTACATTGATTAGATGGATTAAATGGATTAGATGGATTGGATCGATTGGATGGATTAGATAATTAGATGAATTAGATAGATTAGATAGATTAGATAGATAGATAGATAGATAGATAGATGGATGGATGGATGGATGGATGGATGGATGGATGGATAGATCGATCGATAGATAGATAGATCGATAGATAGATAGATCGATAGATCGATAGATAGATCGATAGATGGATGGATAGATAAATAGCCAACAACATGATAATTCGGTGTCATTGAAATCGCCCTTCACCCTCTCCAAAATGGTAGGTTTTAAATTGGGAACATGATGAACCAGTGCATTTTGGCCAAGATTGAATCGAGCCCCAAATAATCATCCGAAATGAATAGTGAAGGGAATAAATGTGAGTTACTATTTTTCATAACTGAACATACATGAACGATAGATAGATTTACCATCTAGTAAATCTCCAGATGTTTTTTCCCCTCCAGTTTAGGAACGCTTGTGATTTACCCTCTGGTAAACTAAAACAACTATGGGAAATCACCATGCTATCAACGGATGATGCTTAAGGGGTTTTCCTAAGTGTAAAAACTACCAGAGAGAAAGGCAAAACATGCACAAGCGTTGCATTTTCCATTGCATCTGGGTTTGTCAGAAAATACGGCATCTGCAAATCCATTGGTTGATGATCATTTTCTCCATTGAATAGCCAGACCCATCGTAACATCTACGCGTGTTGAATTTGGAAGCTGAGATGCCGATCACGAGCATTTAAGTGTTGGTAAATTTAAGAGGTATATCCAATTAGTAGGGTATAAAACATGGCACTAGAGAAAATCCTCATTTGAATTGACAATTCAAGTCAACGCGATTGATGTATGGGATCTTTGTTTTTTGATTCCTATAAATATCCACATGTGTCCAAAAAAATATCTTTTACCAGGGATAGTGTTGGCTTTGCCACAGGTATAATTATTGGCAATGTTCTTCAATAATAGTCCCCATATCAGAATCAGGATGCAAACTTCGGTTTTAGACTAGGAGGACAGACCACGATACAGAAATATACAGAACAGGTAACATGGATTTTTGGAAAAACGAAACGCCAAATTGGAGGATACGATTTGGGGGTCAAAATTATTGCACCGCAACCTTTGCCCCGAAGAAGTCTTTTTCTCATCTTGTCAACACACAAAATTGGTACCCTGAATGACTTGAATCAGAGCCATTGATGGTAGGCCGCCAGTGCCTGTATCGCGACCACAGCTCCCTTCCAAGCCTCTTGGCCAGGCACATGGATCTGGCATAATCTGGTGATTTGGTGTACTATGGAAAGTGACTTCCATATCATAAAGCGATATATAGAAAGTTGACGTATTTTCAAGCCGCGTGCTGCCCAGGGGCTTGAATTTACTAAGTCTAAATACATGGAATATATCCAGGCATGTTTCATACATTCCGTAGCTGATTGCAAACATGTTGTACCTTCGGTCAAAGTACAACTGGGGAGACGGTCCCCGTGTACATTCGGTCAAAAAGGTGGGGAACTTGAACACAGGTGGTGTTACACCACTTGCGTAGCACATTTCTTGTCTTATGTAGAATGCATGCAAGCAACAAAAACAAAACCACAACATTATAATGATACGCACACACACACATATATATACACAAGATGGAAGATCATTTTTTTTCGCGTACTTCTGATTTGGAGTGTCCACCTTAATTATCATGGTTCTGGATTCCTGGGTGAAAATCTACTGTAAACGGTGGTTTCAACTATCCAAGCCTCCAGTTCGGGTGGTCTTTCGAGTGTCCCGTGCACTTGGTCCATTTTTCCTGAGGTTGAACCATGGCTGAAATAGGCCAATACCCTGAGCTAATGGTGGCCAAGCATGGCCCGCTGCTGACCTAAGACGGGACGAGCAAAGCCTCTCCAGTATAGTCGGGAAACATGGGAAAAGCTCGGATAAAGTTGGGAAAAATGCGAAAGCAGTCGCTAAAGTTGATATTTT